TGCTATTGAGCCTTGTGTATCCCTGCTAAGATTCACAAATCTGTGAAGTATACATATTTCAAGACAGTAAATGAAGTGCCTCAGTAATATTCCATTAAGTCAGCAAAGTAGTTCTCCATAAGGAAAACTGGGAGGATAAATCATCCAGAGCCACGGATCAGCAGTCGATCAGAAGATGTTTTGCCTCCCACCCTCCTGACTAGGAAATTGTGTGACATATTTTAAAATAGAAGCAAAGTGTGATGGTTCTTGACATTAAACCCAGAGCAGAAATTGAATTGCAGTTGTCTCTCGCTGAACAGATATTGGAGGAAAACTAGTACTTCTTTCTCTCAAGTCAACCTCTCTTGATCCCACTGCAGTGAATCCATAACCCAGGTAATTCTTTTCTTTCTCCAGCATACCCCTAGTCCACTCAATGCACACTGCTGATCTAAAGGAATGCTAGCGTGATGCAGTGTTGAGCTAAAGGACGGTTATCCAATGCGCGGCAGTTATGAGGCTGATCCAATGCACAGTGCGGTTACAAGGATAACTACAACCCTACATCTGATGCACAGAGTAGATCTACAGGAGGTTTATGTAAAGCACAGCACAAAACTGTAGTTTTACCCTCATATTAAACTTCAAAATAACTTTATTCTCAAGAGGATCCAATTCAGATTTGAAACCAAAAATTGTAACCACATTCAATGTGTCGAATAAGTAGCTGCCCACGATTAATTCCTCTTACAATTTCTTTCTTGCAATGTCCCGCAACGGTCCTTCGTCCTCAGATCAATCTAATTAATCCCAGTGACACGATTCCGCAGCTGAAATTAAGGAGACATTTGGACGTGACGACTCCAAGTCAAAAAAAGCTTCCGGAGTGTCTTCATTTCTTCTCTTCAGTTGGTTGCTTTTACCCTCCTCTGGAAGTGAAAGTATGTTGAATGACACAGCGTGGAGTAAGAAGATTTGAAGGCAGTTAGTTGAAAACATTCCTGAAAGGTTTCCCGTACATTATTCAATATAGAGATCAGGTCTGTTAGTGCTATGAGATACTGCTCTGTGTGAAGGGCTAGATATAAATGCAAGTTGTTGTTGTAGTAGGACTACAGGAAATTGTACCTTCACAATTGGTTTCCCATTACAAATCTCTAATCTTGCTAAGATGTGACTTGTGCACTGTTTTTTAATGGTGAATCTTTTGGACATAAAAAACCTAGTCGATACTGTGAGGTGAGGAAGATTTGAGGCAGTTGGTTGAAAACATTCCTGGAAGCTTTTGCATACATCAGCCAATACAGACATCAGGCATAAACCCATTACATCCTGTGTAAGCTGTGGGTGTAAAGCATCGGTTTGAAGGATGACATTTATAGATTATTACAGAAATTTAATGAATTATATGCAGTTGGATTTTTTTTCTCTTATAAGGTTTCTGCATTCAGTTTAAGGAACAAATTTGTTGCATGCTGCAAACGCAGTTTTTCAGGAGTGAATTAAGGGTTATAATGCAATTGAGAAGTTGAGATGGTTTAAACACAACCTACTGAACAGCAAGTACCAGTGTGGAATTTAATCAAGGCATTCTGATGATCATACATAGAATAATAGATTGCTGAGAGCGAGTTGCAGGCTGTAATCTCCATGCAGAGTTCAGATTTTTATATATAAATAGATACCCGGGAAGAGTTACAAACTGTGATTTGATCATAGGGGAAGGGATGGGGAACAATAAGTACAGCTCATATGATCACATCACAAGCTGCAATTTTATTCAAGAGCTCATACATTTTATTTACTGCCTAGAATAACATGGAGTGAGTTTAAGGTTGGAATCCAATCAATGAGCTCAAACACTTTTATGCAGGTTATTGATAATTGGCACTAAACTACTGGGTATAACCTGACTAAAGGGTTTGGTCGATGTCAACAAGACTAAAACTCAAGTCATTTGGATCCAAGATGGTACAATCTTACAGAGGGTGAAGGGACAAAGAGACCTGGGGGTTCATATAAGTAAATCTTTGAAGGTAGCAGGACACGTAGATAAAGCTGTTAAAAAAGTATCCGGGATACTAGGCTTTATAAACAGGGGCATAGAATACAAAAGTCAGGAAGCTATGATGAACCTTTATAAAACACTGGTTTGTCCTCAGGTAGAGACTGTGTTCAGTTCTGGGCACCACACTTTAGGAAGGATGTCAAGGCATTGGAGAGGGTGCAAAATAGATTTGCAGGGCTATGGGGAGAGAGCAGGGGAGTGGGATTGAACTGGATAGCTCTTTTCAAAGAGCTAGCACAGACACAAAGGGCCGAATGGCCTCTTTCTTGCTGTATAATTCTATGATTCTCTGATGAGACTTGAAATCATTCCTATGTAGGTTACTTGTATAACTTATACAGGGTAACCCTACTATTACGTGACTGTTGAGATCCAGAAATTTTTAACCTGTGATATAAGTGAGGGCGCAAAACAGTGACATCAGCTTTTTGGTGTTCATGACGTCACTGGCAAAAGCTGGTCGGTTGCTTTGGAACACCATCCCACATTCCTTCACCTCACCTCCCTCCCTTGACTGCTTCAAGGCCAGTTTCAAGACCCTCCCTACCCTCCAGCCTCCCTGATCCCAACCCCATCTGCTCGGGTCCAAACCCCTGACTGTCCAGCTCCTTGGGACGTCCTCCCTACGTGAAAGGCGCCATACAAATGTCATTTTGTATGGTATTGTAACATGAGCACATTAGGTTGAGCATGGCAAGAATGGTAATTAGATTGTGTATTTTTGCAATGTCAAAAAATGCAGGGATCCATTACTTATCTGCCTTATAACTGAGGCAGCGCTATATTGAAAAGCATTATAACTGGGCTCCCTTGTTCTTTGGCATCTGGCGGGACAGATTCTAGAATTCTGTCGTCAGTTTACTTGCAGTATTTCCATGGCGACATGAAATATTACTGTCCGTATGCATTAAACTGAAAGCATGCCTTTACCTTTAAGGGTTAAATTCAATTATCTACCCCAACTTGGTGTCATAAGCGAGGCCATACCTATATATCTCTCATTGCTTTCAATACACTTCACAAAATTCACTCAAAAATGGTGATCTTTTGAAACCTTTTATCTTACAGATACTGTGAAGCTTCCCATTCATCGTATAAACCGCAACAATGCCATGAAGCTAAAAAGGAACAGTTGACATCCTATCAGTACAGAATCTATAGCTCCGAGAGACACACACGCTTCATTTCTCCATTTATTCTAAAATGGTCAGCTATTCAATTGGACAACTTGCGTAGGCTGAACTATCAAAGAGACAAGCGTCATCTGTGACAGAGATTGCATGACTTATTATCAGTAACTATCTATAGCTTATTGTCTGAGTGCTGCAGGTTATGCAAGAATAAGCAGAACCAGAATGGAAAATATGAACCAGCAGAAGAAAATCCTGCATAAAAGTCAAGTTATCACACGGCAGAGTGTAACATTAGCCAGTCAATGTCATGGCAACAAAATTGAGAATGAACCATCTTTCCCCTTACGTTGCAGGGAGATGCTGGTGAACAACGCAGATTACAATCATCCTTTTGTTTCCCATTGTAGACAATTTTATGAATAGCTGTTCAAAGGAGGCTTCCAGCTTCCAGGTTCACTGGAGTCCGACCACAGTCACCACACAGATTGCATGGGATCGTCACACAATTGAATCCTGTGGCTCAGTGGTTAGAGCATCCGCCTCGCAAGCAAGAGACCTGGGTTTGATTCCTGGGGCAAGATGAAACGTTGGGCAAGTTTCCTTACTCCATACGTCTCTTGTTTACCTAGCAGTAAGTAGGAACCTGGTTGTTAGTTGATTGGTGAATCGCTGTTCCAGGGGGTAATAATTCCTTCAAAAATAATAATAAATTGGTCACTCAATCCACAACTGTTTGTGAGACGCTGCTGTGCGCAATTGGCTGCCGCGTTTCGTCTGCAAAACATAGTCAATTCACTTGACAGTATATTCTGTGAAGCGCTTTGAGATGTCTCGAAGGCATTATAAGGCGCTCTATCAAATGTAAGGATTATTATTATTATTAGACAAAAAAAATGAATCTGTGACAAAGTAAAGAGTTAACTTAATGGTATTAATAATCAGAAACATGATGGAAAAATACCTGCAGAAAATAACCTAATAAATAACAGCAGGCAAGGGGCCTCAGAGGGTAGATCTTGCCTGATTAACCTCATGGTGAAATAACATTTGAAGCCAGGGCATTGACATTTAATTAAAAACACAATCTTTTTTCAGGTCTAAGTTGGTGCTGACGTCTGTCTTGCTGGTTGATGTCAGAAGAGAAACGGATATAGCACCTAGCCTGTATAACTACACTATTCGAACTACCATTGAAAGTTATGGAGAAAAGGACTTCAGCAGATCTTCTTTTGTCTTGCAGAAAATCGCTAACGTTTCGAAGTATTGAGAAAACCATACTCTTAAGATTCTCCAGACGTGGGGGAAATAAGCATTTGTGGGGAAACCTCTGAGAGTTGCTAGTTTTTGTCGGCTGTTTTATAAACAGTGCAAAATACAGACTTTGTTCCTCCATCTGTTATTCAATCAGAAACAAGAATTATATGGATACACAAGTCATTTAACCCATCAATGGACTGTTTATTGTTTCAGAATGCTTTTGAATATTTACCTGATACAGCTTTTAATACATGTTCTGTACTGCAATTTCATTTGTAAACAAATAGTTAATTTAGTCCACTACCGCTGTCTGCGGTGTAAATTCCACTCTGAACCCACCCTAATCCAGTACCAAGTCACTATAAACACCTCTTGGTTTTGCAGCTTTACAAGAAAATAATAGAAAAAGAGTCTAGCATCTGGACTGTAGTTGTTTAGGAGTTGTCTTTTCAATTTTCAGCAATGAAACCATTGTATAATTTTATTATAAAATTCTAAAACTGTTCTAATTCTTTAATATACAACTGAGGAGCCTCTGTCAACTATCTCTTCATACTCACTCGAAAGGTTGCTCTCTTCCGGCCACTTGTGAGGAAGGTAATTCCTTGCGTCTCAAGAGAAACTCCTGTTTTTTGAATATTATCTGCCATGTACCTGGAAGGTAAGCATTGAGGCACCATCTGAAAAGACTTATCGAAACACGCCAGAAGAAGAATATCATACCACTGACAAATCTGTTGCCACTAAATAAGAACACAGTGGGAAGCCATGTCCCGAAGCACCCATTTATCTAAAATGAACAGTTATATAAATAAGCAAGCCGGATCACTCAGGATGTTTGCTCAGAAGCTATGTCAACTGTATTTTGATCAAAAAACGCCACATTAAATGCTAAGATTTTAGCTTACAAAATTATCGGCAAGGCAAAACTGATGCCTTGATTCTGGAATAAAAAAGTCACGTACTATATGTCAATGGTTTTGTGTGGTTTGTAAAGGGAGTGGGCATAATTGGCCAAATGACGACTTTTTCACTCTATTTTCTTATGCTTCTATGTTTCCTTACCAATTGATGAACGCACTCTTGCCAGCAGAGCGGTTTCCAATTACCATAACAATGATCTTCTTGCGGGGAGGTACCATGCGTGGGCCTAGGATCCTTCCAATCCTTGACAGCCCTAAAGTGGGAACTAAGGCAGAAAATAGCAATGGTATCACCAACAGTCTAGCATAGCAAATCCATAGCTCTACTTTTCTACTTGTTATCTGGACCAAATCTCTTTCTTCTCCACACATCCCCAGTGTTGAAAATAAAATAATAATAACGACATTTGAAATAGTGCCTCATCACATTGTTGAGATGTCTCAAAGAGCTTCACAAAATATACTGTAAAGTGAATTGACTGTATATTTTGTGGGCAAAAATTCTTTCCCATGATCTTAAAAGTGACACCAACCTCAGTCTTACATTCCTCCTATAATCTGCAGATTATAAAAAGCAATTGAGGCTACATCTACTTCAATGCTTTGGATGATGTTGGGCAGCAATAAAAGCATAATATTGTAGGTGGAAATCACAAGATTATCACAAGCTACACAAGATGTTAAAACACAGTATTGCTGCGATTCGGCCACATAAAATACAGTCACTACACTTTACAGTATATTCTGTGAAGCGCTTTGATACATCTCGAAGACGTGATAAGGCACTATGTCAAATACAAGGATTATTATTATTATTAGATTCATTTGACCCCATTATTTTCCTCTCTCAATTTCTTGATCTCATGCTTTTCACCAAGGGAAGGGATCAAGTAGATGAAGATTGGTGTCTTCGACCATGCCTGCCCGACATCGAGTCCTGGACGAGAGACAACTTTCTTCAGCTCAACGTGCGTAAAACTGAGGCCCTCCTGATTGGCTCACGTCAGCGCCTCCGCACCTCAGGCGCTGACACCATCAGCATCCAAGGCTGCACTTTTCTCCCTCATATCCACGCCACAACTGGCACCGCCTTCCATCACCTCCGGAATATCGCCAGACTACGGCACTACCTCACCCCTCACGCGGCTGAAACTCTGGTCCACGCGTTTATAATAATAATAATAATAATAATAATCCTTGCATTTGATATAGCGCTTTTCACGTCAGGAGGACGTCCCAAAGCGCTTCACAGAACACACTGTAAAGTGAATTGACTGTATATTTGTGGGCGAACGCGGCAGCCAATTGCGCACAGCAATGTCCCACAAACAGTCGTAGATTGAAAATGACCAATTTAATTATTGTTTTTGGTTTTGGAGGGATTATTATTATTAGGCTCTGTGTGGAGTAAGGAAACTTGCCCAAGGTTTCGCCCTCTGCCTGGAATTGAACTCAGGTCTCTCACTTGCAAAGCGAGTGCTCTAACCACTGAGCTACAGGACTCCACGACTATATGACAAAGGAGCTTAATAAGGGTAAGGCTGTGGATGTTGTATATCTGGATTTCAGTAAGGCTTTTGATCCAGTTATTCATGAGAGGCTGGTACTGAAAATACCAAATCATAAGAAGTATCTAGCGATGGAAGTAATTGGCTGACCAATAGAACCCATAGGGTTCTATTATTATATTATTATATTATTATATCACCTCAAGGCTGGACTATGGGAACTCTCTCCTCGCCGGCCTTCCCGCCACCTCCCTCCACACTGCAGGTCATTCAGAACTCTGCAGCTCGTGTACTGTCCCGCACCAGGCTTCGCGACCACATCACTCCCACCCTCGCTCGCCTCCACCGGCTCCCCATCCCCCAGAGGATCGAATTCAAGATCCTCATCCTCACCTACACGGCCATTCACGGCCTCGCTCCCTCCTACCTCTCTGACCTACTATCCCCCTAACTACCTGCCCGTACCCTCCGTTCCTCTGGCTCCGGTCTGCTCCACATCCCCCGTCCCAACCGCCCTAACCATCGGTGGCCGGGCCTTCAGCCTCTCAGCCCCGAGGCTCTGGAACTCTATCCCCCAGTGCCTTCGCCGCTTCCTCCCTTTCCTCCTTCAAGGCCGGTCTCAAGACCTTTCTCTTTGACCGAGCCTTCAGCTCCCCTCTCGACTCTTTACCCCCTCCTCGCTCCCTCCTATCCCCCTGACCATTTCCCCCTGCTCGGGTCCTGACCCAACTGTACAGCGCCTTAGGACGTCCTCCCAACGTGAAAGGCACTCTATAAATGGAATCTTGTTGTTGTTGTTGTTTTGATCTCCCTGCTTCCCCCCCTCCCTCTACCCTCCCCGACCTTGTGTCCTAAACTCTGTCCTGTCCAGCGCTTTGGGACATCCTCCTGACATGAAACGCGCTACACAAATGTAATTTCGTTGTTGTTGTTTTCCACAGAGAAGAAACATCTCTATCTGTTACAGAAATCAGCTGCAGAATGTGTTTGCACGCACAGCAAGTGACATGTCACCTTGGCAATGCCAATGAAACCAGCAATGAAACACTGACTGGCAACTAGAAGCAAACCAGTGAATTTTGTTCCTGGAAATGAGCCAGGACAATAATTTCCAAAAAAAAATTGCCCTTGACATCACGCCCTCTGTGATGTCACCAAGCGTTGAGAACTTCCCGCAGTTCAATCCACTGTAATAACAAAAATAATAACAAATTACATTTGTACAACGCCTTTCACGTCAGGAGAACGTCCCAAGGCCTTGGACAGTCAGAGATCTGCACCCGAACTGGTGGTTGGGATCAGGAGGGGTGGAGGGCGGGGAGGGTAGGAGGGTGACCAAAGGCACGGTCGAAGTGGAGGGTCTTGAGACGGATCTTGAAGGTATTATTTTATATCAGATAGAAACTGAAATCACAGCGCAAATTCAGGTGATGTATTGTAAGGTCAGATTTCAGCGCCAGTCGTATGATGGTTTCAGCGTCTTGGGACATCCTCCCAACGTGAAAGGCGCTCTGCAAATGCAATTTTGTATTGGATTGTATTAGTAAAACTAACATCACAATGCTCAAGTATCAGTCTCAGCCTTGAATAAACACTCTCTCCAAAACCTCCACATTGTTAATTTTTGACTTGGTGAAAGAACAGCAGAGAAATCTGGCATTTTCAATAGCTATGCCAAAGGTGCTTTTCTTACTCATCCTCGTGCATCCACGGTGTAACCATCACCAGGAATGCATGGACAAGACGGGACAGATGCAAGAGAACCTCCATCATGTTTGTCACTGCCATAAGTGACTCACAGATGGAAGGGGTTTGTCTGTCGTTCTCAAATCCTTCCTCTTCGACGGTGTCTTTGATCACCCTCCTACCCCTACCCTCCCTCCACCCCCCTTGATCCCAACCACCAGCTCAGGTGTGGATCCCTGACTGTCCAGCGCCTTGGCACGTCCTCCTGACATGAAAGTCACTACACAAACGTAATTTGTTGTTGTTTTTGTCTGTGAGGACCCACAATCTGCCACTTTTGGGCCTCAGATGGCGTGGCGGCCAGCTGGGTTAGAGATGCTGACTTGATTCCAATCAGGAGACAAGATGGAGATAGAAGCCCATGAAGTAATCAAATATTCCAGTATGGGGAAGAGATCACATCACTACTAAAATGATTTTTGGCTTAATTGCAAACTAACCATCAACTGAGAGTTGATTGATGGCTCACATGCACTTGTCAGCACAGGTCGTCGTCTAGTGATCAGGAGCAAACAGATTTTCCTCTCTGCTTTACCCGAACCACATCACTTAAAACAAGTATGGTATGGAAATGAGATTTTATCCCCAGTCAGTGCTGGGCTAACTGATCCCAACCCATATAGCAATGTGATGCAAGGTACAGAAAAAAAAATCTGTTTGGTGCTAATCACTAGCCAGCAACCAGTGCTGACAAGTGCATGTGAGCAGATACTGGTCACGAAAGACCCAGCTGTCTGTGAGCCTTAGGCTTGTCCCCGCTGTCGAACCGGCTAACCTCAAATTCCTGCACTCGCACATGAAGAGTGACCCTATGCCCAGCTGGCTCCCCATCATAATGTTATCCCAGCAAGTGAGAGTCGGGTGGCAGGTAAAAATATCAAAAGATCAACTTGTCATCACCAAGAATTCTATTTTTTCCCGCGCAAACACTAAATACATTGCTACAAGTGGATGCGTTTATTCAGTCTTGCTTCCAACTCAGCAGAAGGCAATGGTCTGGGCCATTGGGGCACTGCACGTTACTGACACAAACATTTTTTTTCACAACTGGTATGCATTCAGCGGCATGACATTTGATCCGGAAATTCTCCATCCAGGACGTTTTAAACGGATCGTATCGGATGAATTTAACAAGGCAGCCACACAGCAATTTTTTTTCCCCCCCGGAATTGTTTTAAACATAGTTTTAACTTTGTTTTAAAGCAGCACAGATAGTCTCGAAGTGCACTGTGCGCCGACAACCTTTCTCGTCCACAAACCGTTGCAATGCGCGTCGCAGCGAGAACTTTTAACAGGAGCTCCAGGATTGCTCAAGCAGTCTGTTCCGGTGACACTGAAGTCAATTCATTGATCGTGTTGCGGTCAACAAATATTACCACGTGATACGGCACAACTTTCAGCCAATGTCACCCAGTTATTGGTGACAGGTGAATCTTCACTTGCGAGTTAACTACATGGGGTGTTTTATGCTAATCCTTGTATTTGATATAGCGCTTTCTCACGGTCATTGCGATGTCTCAAGTTATACTGCAATTTGTGAAAATATACTGTAAAGTGAATTGAATGTATATGTATTTTGGAGGCGAAACAGTAAATTTACAGCAACTTCAAACACACACACACACACAGACACACAGTCATCAACAAGAGGACTGAATACATCAGAAGTAACGTTGTGAAGTCGACTCCAGTATTTGCTTCTTCCTATTGGGCTCAGATCACCTCTCCCGTGAGTGTGAGTCACCCAATCGCTCTCCGTCAACTTTTCCTCTCTCTGGACCCACCCACCCGCTTCCAACCCCCCCTCCGCCCTACCCCGCCCTAACCTGCCCTGCCCCGCGCTGACACACCCTACCCCGCCCTAACCCGCCCAAACCCACCCAAACCCGCCCTACCCCACCCTAACCCGCCCAAACCCGCCCTAACCCGCCCAACCCCGCCCTAACCCGCCCAAACCCGCCCTACCCCACCCTAACCCGCCCAACCCCACCCAAACTCGCCCTAACCTGCCAAACCATACCCCGCCCTAACCCGCCCTGCCACACCCTACTCGGCCCTCCGATACCCCGCGCTCCCACACCCTCTCACCCCTCACCCGGTCCCCATTTCTCTCCCCGCGCACCCACCCAGCACTTCCCCCGCAAGGCCCCTAAGCGGCGCTGTCCGCCACGGGACACAAACAGTTTGGTTGCCCCCCGCCCTCGGGGTGGGGGAGGGCGATGGGGGAGGGGGGGAGGGCGATGGGGGGGGGGGAGGGCGATGGGGGGGGAGGGCGATGGGGGGAGGGGAGGGCGATGGGGGGAGGGGGCGTTACCTTTGTGCTGTTTGCTGTACAGCTGCGCGCACTCCCGCAGCACCCGCTCCTGGGCGTCCACCAGGTCCCCCCCCCAGGCCAGCGGTTTGCCTCTCCAGCTGAACATGGCCGTGGGGCAGGAGGGCCGCCCCCCCCCCACCGCGCACAACACCGGGGGCGGGGTCACGTCACGCGCACGCAGGTACGTACGCACGCACGCACGCACACCTTCGCGCGGAGACGTCATACAGAGGCCCCGCCCCGCCCCCACGGGGGGGGGAGGGGGGCTGAGTGTGCGCGTGCGCAGCACCGCCCAAGGCTGGTGCACAGGTGGGGATGGGAGGAGTCAGGGGGAGGGGGAGGGGGTGTGACATGTGCACAGCATTGCAGCTCACACACCACGACCCCCCCCCACCCCACATGGGTCCTGTAGCTCGGCGGTTAGCGAGAGGGTTCCCGCGCGGGTCGGGTCAGGGCCAAACGGTTTCCATCCTCCCCCCCCCCCGCGCGTGCACTCACACTCACCCCCCCCGCGCGCACTCACACTCACCCCCCCCCCCCCGCGCGCCCGTGTTGACCTGCAGTAAGTTGGCACCCGGTTGTGAGTCGACGGGCGGATGGCTTTTCCGGGGGGTGATAAACCCCCTTCAAAGACAAATGACGATGAATCGGTCACTCCGTCCACCACTGCCCGCGCGGCGCCACCGCCGGCGCACCATCGGCTGCCAGGGTTCGCCCGCGAAATATTGCAGGCGACTCACTTTTCAGTATATTCAGCTCTCGCCCCCTCGGCCCGCCACGACCCATCACCCAGGGCTCGCTGCCGCCAGCTTTAATACATCGGCTTCATTCCCAGCGTTCCGATTCCTTCCCTGTTGTCCCGAGGCTGTTTTTACTGCCCGGGGTATCTTCTCCAGCTCGTTTACTCACTTCTCCCTTTTGAACCGCGGGCTGCCAACATTGCACTGTAACACGTGCGTGCACCCACAGTGTTGAGACATGTTCCCGATGTAAAGGGCGCCGTCTCAAATAGTGTCAACAATCCCCCAGTAAAATGGGTCATTCACTTCATGGCTATCTATCTGGTGATGCTCCGAATGTGGCACTGCAAGAGTGCCACACGGTCAGAGGTGACGTCCTTTGGATGAGACGTAAACCGAGCCTGGTCAGGTAGAATTTAAAAGACCCATGATACTACTCGAAAAGTGAGTTGAGTTTCTCACAGTGTTCCACTCAACATTCCCCCAAATAAAATTGGTCATTCACTTCATGGTTATTTATGGGACATTGTTATGTGCAAATTGGCTGTCCACTTTTGCACACAAATAAGTAGTCACTGCTCTTAACTGTAATTCCTGTGAAGCACTTTGAGACATATTTTCAAGGTGCTATATCAAATGTAATCATTACATTACAAATGAGGGGGAGGGGGAAGGGAATCACACATACACATTGGCAGCTTTGCCACATTGACGAGGATGTGAGCATTCATCCATTTGAACGAGCTGTACCAAAAGTGTAGGGACATGAAGACCCAGATACTTGGCATCACATTAATAATAATAATAATAATAATAACATTAGCATCAGACACAAGCTGGGTTGCAGGTTGACAAAGACACAAAGCAACACCGACAGCTGCATTCATTCAGTTGCATGTATTTCTGTTGGTTGGTGGAGTTATAGCACTAAAACATTACACATAATACAAATACACACCTATCCTTCGGGCAGCAACAGAAATAAAGAACAACTTGCTTCGGGTTAAACAAAAACACAAAGGCAACGTTTTAAAGAAACAAAATGCTCACTTCTAGGATTCTTCTAACTTCCCATCTCCCTGGACTGGAAGTTATACACAGAGCAACACATGACCGATTCTATAACACAAGTTTATTTGAAGCTCACTGTTCCAGTTGAGACACACTTCACAATATATACACAGAATGAGAACTAGGGCAAATTCCCTTTTTTCATCAGATGGAGGGATGGCTTGCAAAAAAAACTCTTCCGGGAAGAGCATCTTCTGATGTCCCTTGCAGTTTGGCGAAATTAAATTTACTAAATTGCTGAAAGTTCATTTTACAGGTCTGCATTGCTCACCCTATAGTGCAATCCTTGTACATCAGACATGAAATGCCTTATAGCAGAAATCTATGTAGATGCTGGATTATTCTATATCTGTGGCCCATCATTTACAAGTCATTCAATCAGCTTTGATGTTTAGCGGTACTGACCCATCTTGCTGCTGGCCGAGACACAACATTGAAAGAAAAGCTGTTTTGAGGGTTTCCAGTGTGCAAGTGTACTTTTAGAATATTCTCCAGTTGTCTGTTTTTTAAAAAAAGCGAATTGCATCATTATTACAACTTCCTTTGGAGGTAATGGATTAAGCTGCACTTTCCGGAAACCGTTTTGAAGTGATCTTGCATCAGTAAATGACACCTGCATGGGGAGAAGGGAGTTTTGTTTTCATACCACATTTAGCTGTCGTATCAGTGTTAAAAAATCCTTCAATCTACAGGCCGGACTGTGGCTGTGTGCTACTGCCCCCAGCGGTGTTTTTCCCAGTACTGCTGCCCTTCGGAGCTCTCGTGGCGCTGGGCTGACGAGGCACTCGTTGGCTGGATCCCTCGCGGCTGCTGCTTCTCTCAGTCTGCAACTGTGACCCACTGATGGCAGCGTTGGACTTATTTCTCACTGGGAAGTAAAGAAGCAAGGAAAGGGGGGGAAAAAAAAAGAGCAGTCAGTTTTATAATCAGGGCGTTTCAAAGCAAATACGGCATCACACACACTCCGAAAAAGGTACAGTAACCCATTGCTAGTGTTCCTCGGAGGTTCAGTGTTGCGAGCATCGTATAAAAGATAAGTTGGGGTTCTATTTCCTAACACCTAACTGACCTGCTATCAGAATGTGATAAACCTCTGTTGTGATCTGAATTGAGTGATGGCAATCATTTGACTCCAGTCCACGGAGCAAGAACCCAAACGTAGCTCTGTGCTTCAATGATTAAAGCTGGCAGAAGTGAAACTAAAGGGCACTTGAAACTCAAGCTCCTTTGTATGGCAAAGGCTAGTGGTTAATCCTCATCGCATTGTCCCATTAATTAATGGTATAGAATCTGTTCTAAAAGATCAAGTTGCTCACCTGTTGGGTGGCCTGACAGAGAAAAATCCATAAGCAGAAGTTATATATTTGAAGATGTAACCCTTGTGAACTGTAATTTTCTCCTCTGCCTCAGAGAAACACCAGCAATCATTAAAATCATTTCAGAATACAGGACATAAATTGTATATAAAGCCGGTTTTAGCAGAGCAAATAGAGGGAAATATGAAAGCCAAATGCTGCAGCCTAATTGCTTTCTCTTGTCGTTGCGCACAGCAGTGTAGCAGGGAAACTATAGCGTAAAGCCAGCCAGAGGTGCTACATCCCCAGCTAACAGCCAACTAAATTAGATTATAGGAATTCATCATATGAAAGACTCAATCTGTGGAAGCATTTTCATGCAGACCATCAAATACAGCTGTGATGCATGTGATTGAGACAAGAATAAGAACAACTTGCACTTATATAGCACCCTCCACGCAGGGTAGCGTCTCAGAGCGCTTGACAGTGGCGGAGCCTGACTGTTTAGCCTGTTAGTCAGTATTTTAGCCTGGTGTCTGAATAATTCTGTGGTCTGAAAACGATGTTAAATCAATTGACATCAGCCTCAGGGGATCAGCCGATCCATTGCTTCAGATTAAGAAATAAATTAATGACCCAAAACCCGTAATCTAATGGGCAATAATTAACTCAATGATGCCACATCCCCCACATCAGGGTACGTTTTAGCTCTCAACTTCTGACATGTGCAAAGATGGGTGATAAGCATACCTCTCTACCAGTTGATTATTTTCTATGTACAGCTCCAGTTAGCCATTTCATACACTATCACAGAACTGCCACTGCAAGAGAATTGGAGTTTTACTGCTGGCTTTCAAGCACATAAAATTTCCTGGTTTATTTTGTCCGGGTTTCTTTTAAACCCTGTCCTACAGTTAGCTATTGCACATCATAATCTTCAACATTCCCGTTCAGTAGGAGTCAGGCTTTAGCTCTTTCAAATGCTGATTGATTTACTGCCTATCCAATTTCCGTATTTCAGTTTGCCAGCATTTGTATTTTTAAATATATGCTTACCTCAATGAGCAGTAAATCGATATTTTAAGAAAGATGTTTATTGTCCATTTTAGACATCTGGACGACAACCGTAAGGTATGTGCACATTACAAGATCCATCACTGCTGCTTTGAAAGTAATTTCTACTTCTGGGATATAATCTTGCTCCCTCCCTTCCCTCCCCTCACCCTGACCATTTCCCCCCTCCTCTCTCCCTCCCTTCCCTCCCCTCACCCTGACCATTTCCCCCCTGCTCGGGTCATGACCCAACTGTGCAGCGCCTTGGGACGTCCTCCTGACGTGAAAGGCGCTCTATAAATGGAATCTTGTTGTTGTTGTTTCGGTGTAGGGCTTTTCACTTCAGTGAAATATCACAGCAGTGAGTTAGTATCTCCTCCAGGGTCATGAATTCATGCCAAACTCCATTTACTCCCCTTCCCTCAACCATCTGCATTTAGCATTCCATCTTGGGGCAAGGGAGGGGGAAGGAAGAGAGAGAGAAAGAGACCAACTAGACCAGTCACTCTTGTTGGCCATTGCATCATTGACAATGACTGATGAAACCCACACGTTAGATGTTGGAAGAATAATATTCAACAAAGGTATCGCACGAGTTAAACGGGAAGAGGGTTAAAGTTAGTTAAATTTATAGAAAAATACAGCACAGAAGAAGACCATTTGGCCCATCATGTTTGTGCTGGCTCTGTGATAGAGCATTCACCATACTTTAGAGCTTCTGAGGCTGACATTTGGAAGGGGGAAGAGTCAACTATACACAGATCAAATGTTTCTGAAACACAATCGAATGAAAATAAATGATGACCAGCACCTCAGAAAGTTGGGAAAATGCATAGGTCACAGAGCCAAGTCCATGCTCGTCAATACTATGTAGATTAAGTCCATTAGCACCGAGTTAACCCATACAATGCAAACCCAGTTCATTACAATGCAATTTATGCAGAACTTTATGGCCCATATCCTCTTCCACAGTAGGCCCCACGTGTCCACCAACCCCATCCTCACTAGGCTTTCCTGATTCCTTTTTCCTAGAACATTGATTAGAAGATCCTGATTCTGACTTTCTTGTCTCACCCACCTCTGCTGTTTCTGCCGGTTCCACTTGTAAACTCAGGCCTCTTTCCTTCTCTGCTTTTAAAATCCTTCTATAAAATACTCCCACTTCAGAAAAATCCTTCCCATCCTCCATCTCCCATCTTGCCAGGAGTATCACTGTGTCCTTGTAAAGTGCTCTGAGGCATTAACCTATGAGAAACTATGTTTTTTTTAAAGTGGAAGTTATTGCTGTTATTATTGAAGGATTTATGAAATTTGCTTAAAATAACTGAGGCATTGGATGTTCTCCTCACTGATGCAGATGTCCTGCTCATGATCCTAATCAGTCAGATCAATCCCCGGATCAAAAAGCCACGATTCGACAAAGTGTGGAAATGTCTTGCTACTTTATGGTTCACAAGCTGCGTGGTTAACAGTTCGAATTCTGTACCTAAACAATCAACCAGCACTGTTTCGGACAGAACTTTTTGCAGCAAAAAGCAAAATTTGCCGATTGTGAAACTCTCTCTAAGTTCACCTGAAGTTGAAATATCTAACTGGAAGCAAAGGACCCTGTAACTAAGTATGGTTAATTTCACCTTCACCACACAAGGTTGTCAAGGTGAGCAGAAAATGTTGGCAACATCAGGAGGTCTCTCTCCTTTGATTAACTAAAAGTGGCCAATATTTCCTCGCACTGATTGGTAGATAATATACTGAATTGGTAGATAATATACCAATAATACCTGCAGCCAATAATGTAGCCACAATGTTTCTGAATGAATATGGTAAAACTGGCAAAAATCTTGAGTTGAGCGCTTACGTTGACATAGCAGGGATCTGAGTGTAACATTTTATGTTGAATTTATGACCTGGTGCAGAATCACGTGCCTTTATACTCAGTACTGTGTATACAAATAGGACACAAAAGCAGCTATACATTTGCGACTGAAATAAATCAGCCAAGCAAGGCATGCAGCACTCCACATACAAGCCCAACACAAGATGACTGGAATACCATTTAGCTAGTTTAACTAATATCCACATGGAGTCTAGGATCAAACAGGAGTTTATTAGTTTATCACCGATATCTCAGACCTGTGGAGATCTTAGGGTTGGAAAATTAAATTTTTAAAATAAAAACAGATTAGAAAACAGATTATTTTCGATATGCACTTTGACATGCATAACATGTAACCCTCAACACTGGCACCTACCACAGGTTTCTACAGTCTGTACATTACAATCATGCATTTAAAGATCGGGTTCACTGTGTTACAAGTACTTGCGTTCATGCAGGGGTACATGAGAAGTGTTGAATAAGTGTTATTGTGGGAAACACACAAATGGTTGGAAACTGAAAAGTGCTCTAGGTGTACAGACTGTGCACATTGGAGGATCAATAGTTTTGTGCAGGAAATAAAGATGAATTATACTTTTTGTGTGAGGTGTTCATTGTGATTATTTAGAAACTGTAAAAATGAAGACAATGATATCCTAGGAGTAAAATACTTCCAGCAATGTTTGGAAAAGTACATTTGTCATACAGATTTGACGCAAAAAATCTAAACTCTTTAGATTTTTCAACAAAGCCCTGAGTGCTTCACTTTGTTTGGATACATAACTCCACATTAGGGATTGCGAGCGAATCAACAGTAGACTGAGGTGCCAACATCATCAGGTAGAGCAGTCTAATACAGTGGGTTTTACAGTCCTATCTTGAGGACCCAAGTCCAAATTCCTATTTTTGACAGTTTCAAACTCACATTTCTTCAAATAAAGGAAGTGTTATCCACTTCTTTTATCAGTAGCCTTATCAGGCAGGCTACTGCATGGAAGAACGTGAGGCAGCAGAGATTCACAGTAAATCTCAGGGAGAACAAGACAAAGCATTTCTACTTCAGCTCATCACAAACCGGTACTGATGACAGACAGACAGACAGCAGCAGCAGAGAAGGTCTCAGCTTAGACTGCCCGTCCTTCTGACAGGAGGAAAGAGGGAAAAGAGAATTAACAATATAATAATTAAACTGAAGCTCAAGACATAGATATGGCTGATTGTCAATCACAATGTCATCATTTGGCAAGGAGCAGAATCAAAAACAACTAAACTGGGAATTCCCAACAGTGAGGCCAAACAACAGTGAACAGCTGTTTTGACAGATACTTGAGTACTGAACTCATGTGAAACAACCAAAGCTTCATTACAGCCCTATTTGAAATGCAGGAGAATAAACCTGGCAGTAGGTGCACAGTGATTTCACAGACCGGAATCTATACCCATCCCAACCCAAAGTACCGAAGAAAGCCAATTAACAGTATTTTCTAAAGGTAGTCGACCCTTTGTTAAGGAAGCTTATCACCACATCCTGTCATTTAGCCATTCTTACATAAAAAGCTGAAACAGCCACTGAATTGCTGGGCACGTCAATGCCATCAGGAAAAAGCACTTCTTATAAGGCAGTGAACAAGCACTTCAGCAGGTGATTAGATGAGGCAGTGGAACACGAACTCCACATATGGTTGAATGAATGAATGATTCAGCTTCTGAAGTTGATTTTCTGTATATTCACATTCATTTTAAGAAATAAAACAAAAAACGTTTTAACGTACACTACATTGCTGTAAGAATCTATTCGCACCTTCCGAATAGACTCATATGAATTTTTTTTTAAAAAAGAACACTTTGTGAAAGCGTTACCACAAAAGAATAAAGATTTAATGTATATTAGACCTGGGAGTTTTCCATTATGAGGTCTACAGATATGGAAGCCTTCATGTTTTGGTTCATATGGATTCCAAGAAAATTCCAACCCTTAGATCAACTACTTCCTAACCCACTCCCCTCTCAGAAGGACAGTCAGATCGCACTAGGAACCAGAGCTCATGCGTTATTCATGAATCTACTGAAACAGCTTTAAGATTAAAGAAAGCAAACCTTTGGGAGCCTTTTGAACTCTGTGCAAAACGTGGCCTGGTTTAAAAATAACTTTGGTTTAAAATTATCCAAATACTGTACCTTCTTTCTCTTCACACACTGGATCTAACTCATTGGGCTACCTGTTCTAGACTAAGGAAGATGTGCAGCCCATTACACAACTTCCCATAGAGATATTTTTATTCTAGCCTCAGTTACTGCATGCTCCCTCCTCCAGAGATACAATGTGCAAGCAGCACCAATGTTCAATAAACAAATGACTTTTACATTGTCAAGAGCTAATGTTAATGTTTGTTTCTAATTTACATGTAAAAAGTAATCGGATATGGTCACGCTATTTGCTACCTTGGATACAGTTTTACCGAGCACAGCTTTGCTCCTGGCAAATGCAGAGAATAAAAATTTTTACTTATTCCAGATTAACAAAACAATTATTACTGAAAGACCAATAACACTGAAAACAGCACGTTAGAAATCACTCTGCAATCCAAGATCAAATCCTTTTACACAGAAAACTAAGTCACCATTTCTTGTTTTATACCTTTGGGCAGCAATGCTATACCTTAGCAAAAACTATTACAGCGCCTTCACACAAGGTAGCATCTCGGAAAGCTGAAACATTGTGATAATCCTGTCAGACAGTCTGTGAAAGACACTAAAAATAATTATTCTTTGTTTAAATATTACTTTTGAATGTCTTTATTCACTTTGTTTTTTGTTCCCTCCTCTCCATATCCCTCTGAAATTAAACAATTTATAAAAGTTACAAATGGTTTTGAAGTTCCAGTGAATATATCCAGCTACGTAAGGATACGCACAGGATTTACAATTAGAATGCTATATTACAACTACTAAAATACACTGCTATGACCTCCAGTGAAATAACTTTATACGTAAAAAAATCATAAATTATAATCATAAACCATATGAAAACATCCAAATCCCTCCTGTGGTTTTCAGGAAAGTGCCTGTTTTACTCAATGCCAACAACCACTAGTTTACTTCAATGAACAAACTTTGCAGTCAAACAAATTAGATAAATTAGGAACATTGTTGAGGTTTTAAAGGAAAAGTTAAGCATTGACAAACATCCAAAATTTGTCTTAGTAATTCACAAAGTATGCCAATGTATTTAACTCAATTAGTAGGATTGAGCTGAGGTCCATCTCAGACATTTAAGTCATTATCTAGGCTTGCATTCCTGTGAAGTAATGAGGACAGGAGGCACCATCCTAAGCCAAACCCCCATTGGCCTGTTCAGGACATTGGAGATCCAGTTTTAAAGAGGAGTTTTCCCAGTGTCCAGGACAATATTCATGGCCAAATTTGATATCACAAGTCAAAACCTGCAAGCATTTTGATTATAGAATTAAATACTCTGGTGAGCACACATTTGTTTGACCCTTCAAGGTATACTGAAGGTCAATACTCTCCCAGCCACATTGCCTGACAATGCTGACACTCGCTTGGCTATGGTTCCTCAAACACTGCCTTCTCTCCCTTTCTCCCCCCCCACGCCAATAACTGACCATTTGAACATAAGCAGCAAGTGTCATTTACTGTGGGAGAACATCACACCAGGCACAATTCTGTCTTCACCTGACATTCACACTTATGAGCAAGGGATCAACAATCAGCAGTGAAGTATGGGAACCCTGGTGGTTATTTTGTTTGCTCCTCTCTAGCTCATTGAATCTAGAGGACAGTTTTAGAGGTCCCATTTCTACCTGTGTGGATCAGCACTATGCCTTCTCCCACTAGGGCATTGGTGGAGCTAATCTTTAAGATTTCTAACCTAAGTTTCTTTTCAAGCATATACTTTATTTTCATATGGAAAATGCAATACGGTTCCCTCCTCCATTAAGATGTCTTTAAAGAACTATTATTTCATAAGAGATCAGGTCAGTCCTTTCTCGTGTTACCTTAGTATGTACTGGGCTCGAGAACTGGTGGGCGCTGTTATCTGATGCCAAATCCAAACGCTGAAGAGAAAGGGGAGAGAAATAATACTAACCCTTTCATTTGATATAGCACCTTATCATGCCTTTGAGATACTGTAAAGTGAATTGAAATGCTACAACTGGGCTCAATACCCGCAGGCTTGGAGGGTGAAAATTAAAAATACTAGAGCTTCTGTTCCCAAACATTATCCAACCACCCCCGCCCCCCACCCACCTTGTTGGAAGTGCAAGTGCTACCATCACATGAGTGATGGCATTAAAGCAAACTAAATACATCAGGCTCATATCGTCCATCAACATTCACTCGGTTTAAAGAATAACCACAAAGTTGAAGATTTGGAAGACAAATATTGTTCACTGAACCTTACCTCAACATATTTCACCAACTTCAGAGAAACCAAGGATAAGAAACTAATGATTTTTTAATAAAAAGTTTTTTAAAAAATTCATCAATATTGAAAAGATATTCAAGATATAAGTTGGAATAAATCAATATAGTTTTGCAGAATAAAATCTCTGAGATAAATATTTTGGGGAGTTGTTAATTATGGAGTCAATTTATTCACATGATTTTAGGCCAAGACAGGTAGAAGATGTGTGTTATAAATAATTAGAGATCCCGACCCAAAAGTACTTCCCTTCTCATCGAAAGACTTCAGTTTGTAATCCAGTTCCTAGTGCAATCACTGACTGTACAGGAACCCAGCAGATAAACTAATAAACGCAACCTGAGAAGGGCGAGAACAGGCAGCAAGAAAACTGGAAGGAACCAGGGGGACCTTGAGAGAGAGGTGAGCAAGCGTCAGCAGGATTGTAGACCACCATCTTAGTGGCTAGTCTTGGAGGTCGAAGGGCAGAGGAAAAGGAGAGTGCTGGGATTTTACTGTTCTTTGCAGAGATAAACGAGTGCTCTAATTCAGAGAGGAAAGAGACGAAAAGAGATTAAGCAACACGGCGAGAGGCACAGAAACTCATCCATTGCAAGAATACAAACGTTAACTCATCCATCAAAAACAGCGATGTACTAACAAGTCTTCTGGGCTTTACAGCTACAGCTGATAACAATTAAGTGTCTTAAAGAGCGAATATCATCGTCAAACCCCCTTTTTTAAAAAAAATGAGGAACTTAAACTTAGTTTAATATCCTTTTGATGATTTGAATATACGACTGATTTTTTTTTGGTAAGAATGTTGTGTGTGAGTGCAGGTCTGTGCCATCCACAGGGGAATTGATTGATGGGTATAACCAAGTCCAACTGTATGATGCAAGATTAATATTCATGCATTGATTAACCCAGATTGCTTCAGCGAGGTGCAGATTAAGGCCAACATCCACAGTAACTTCTCTCAGTCTATTTCCGTTTGAATTTTCCTGAAGGGCTTTTTTTTTGATGGCGAGACTCGCTCTTTAAATTACAACAGTAAGTACAGCTTATATAGGCTCAAATGTTTCCTTATGGTTAGTCATTTTCTAAGCACGTTCTTTAAGAGCATAATATGAAGGAGAAGGATCAGATTGACATCAAAAAGGGTGCTTAATGTGAATTATGTTATTCAGCAAGACCCAAAGAGACTGTCATGTTAGAGGTTACGTTCTATCAGTCAGTGCTGGGAGTAAGGAGCTACTGCACCAATATAGATTGCAGCACAAAGCACCTCCATCCTCTCTGGAACACTCTTGTATCACAGATATCTTGATTTCCTCTTGTAATACATTGCACTTTCCAGTTCAATTTGTCTCTCACTATAACACAGGTCTGGAAAGGCAAGATTTAGTACAGAGCTGCAGACCTTCCATTGAGGCACATTGCTTTAGGAAACTATGTCCAAATAAATTTCAAAATGCTACCCGAAGCTGCCATTTACCAGGCGGGGAAGGAACAGGAAAAGAGGCTAGAGAATTTCTTTTTGCAACTCAAACAATTATACCACAACAAATTCTGAACGCAAAAAAAGGCCTCAGCAGCTTATTAGCAAAAGCTGGGCTGATGGCATGAAATACAAATACAACAGCACAACTGGACCAGCCCCTGGAAATATACCAGCCAGCTCATGTTCAATCTGAGCCCTGGGCGCTACAAGATTCAGCAACAGTCACACCACCACATTATACAAACTTATTTTATGATGTCCCCCACTCAAATTTAATTCAGCGATGACTCCTTGACACTCCCCAAAACATTTCTTGAAATATTTTACCCTCAATAAGCTTATCAATGCGCTATAAACAGTCACTACTTGCATTTAGAGTAAAGAGCAGAATTAGGAGGGGAGATAGATTAGTTTGGATGGGTTGGTTTGGCCAAAGGTTACTGTCATGTGGGCAAACATGCCTAACTCATAACTGAGCGTTATTCAGTAGTTCCAGAGCTCTGGTTTCTACAGTTTAGTGATGAAATGAGCACTATTTACTACTCCCAGTTAATTGTGAGATATACTGCTCCCATTAATAACAGCAAGTTACTAATAACAGCAATCACATCATTTACAACATTGTATTCACACTGTTAAATGCCATTTTAATCTGATCAGTAATACTAAATCTGTAATAAAAGGACTTCCTAATGCATGAAAGAACCAATTAGCTGAAAGCAAGAATTAACATAAATCACTTTAGGAACATCCTGGCTGGTCAACCTTTGCTTTACTCAGTGAAATCCAGGCAGTTCTCAATGTCACTGAGTGCCCACAGTGCAAAAATATTCCCCAACTCTCAAATAAGAATTACTTTTCACCCAATGTGCTTATTTTCCTTTCTCTCTTTAAGCTCCTCAAATGACAAAGAAAATATTGCCTGACAGAGCAGGATAGCACGTGAGCTGTTCAATCTCTGCTGATGATCTAGCTTTAACCACTCACATATATGAGAGGAATTGGGGGAATAACTTCTCCTTTGACTCTTACTACTTCCGACACTGTGCCAGGCAAGACCATCATGGCTCACACGTGAACATTCATTGTCATTTCAGCAAGGTACAAGATTGACCAGCATCTATAAAACCTTTCCAGTGGGAGGGGAAAAGTCAAAGGCCTTTAGGAGAGCGGATGGATGCAAACATTAATCTATAAAAGAAATACAATACTGATCAAGTTATCTGAGGATTATTTCTACCACTTAAATGTGGTCTAAGAGCACGGTCTCACCTCTGGAATCTGCTAGGTTGCTCCGCGTCATAGTTGATACAGCCTCAGCAGAGGACATCTCTGCAATACTGTGGCCTGCACACATGGCTTTCAACATCTGGAAAACTGCCAATGGAGCCACGTTCATCTTCAACAGATCCACAATTATCCTGATGGGAAGAAAAGGGGGGAAGAACAATAACAAATTACATTTGTATAGCGCCTTTCACTTAAGGAGGACATCCTAAAGTGCTGGACAGTCAGGGATCCACACCCAAGCTGTTGGTTGGGATCAGGAGGGGTGGAAGGCAGGGAGAGTAGGGGTAGGAGGGTGACCAAAGTTAACAGTACATGACAGAATCCGCCACTAAATAAAAAGATGGCAACAAAAAGAAACGATTATTCCTTGTAGAATTTCTTGACATGCTCAAAATATTCAGAAAGCCACACGAAGGGCAAGGTTTCTGATAACATTCATTAAACATCTGTGAGAAGGAGGTCAAACCTTCATCTCCACAATCGAGAATGACGTGGAACACATAGAGGAAAAGCAGTTGAATACAAGAGAAAGAGGAACAGGCGGCAACAAATCAACTCTCGGCAACTTGGTATCAGCAGTTGGTCACACAGCAAAGCTCTGAATGCTCTCATTGTCATCCAGTTCATCACTGTTAGTCATGGAAGTTGCTTCCTCCATGGACAGCACACTCTCTCCACCCTCTCCCTTTTCCCAGCTGGTGACATAGAAATTTGACACAGTTGGCAAATAATTTTATTCCAGCTGTGGCAATGAGGCCGATCAGATTGCAATTTCTTCTCCACTTACTTGAACACCTCCTGGTCCATGACAATACCAGCAGCCTGTGTGAGCTCGTACAGCTCCATTTCCTCTGCAGTGAGGACTTTCTTCTTCTTTGCTGCATATTTTTGCACGTTTCCGCTGACCGTCGCCAGGAGATTCTGCTGGCCATCTAGACCGGAAACCCCAGCCTGCTGTGGCATAGCCATCTGCAATCACGTGGAATAACTCCCCACACTGCAATCCGATACACATGCATTAATCAGGAGGGACTCTGCAGATTTACTCGCCCCTTCGGAAAATCAAGGGCAACAGACTTCTTTGAATTACACAAATGAAACGGAAGTACCATGTAAAATCAGACAAATTGGTATGAACTGTTATAGATTGTTCTCCTACACTGTCAGTCTGCACAAGAGCCAGACCAGAGAGCGAGCTGCTCATCTTTCTTGCACAGAAATTATATATTTTTTTTACGAAAATTAATTTTGGATAAAATTAGCTCAAATTGAGATTCAATTCTCCCAGATTTGCAATTATCGCAGTATATTGATTTCAATAAGATATTCTGTCTATGAAGGGGGGAGGAGGAGGGGGGGGGGCGAGTCTTAGGGGAGTGGGAGGAGGAGGAGGGGGGATGGGGGCGAGTCTGGGGGGAGGAGGAGCCGGGAGCGGTCTGGTGGGGGGAGGAGGAGGTGGGCGAGTCTGGGGGAAGAGGAGGGGGGCGGGTCTGAGGGGGGAGGAGGAGAAGGGGGGCGGGTCTGGGGGAAGGGGGGGGAGGGGCGCGGGTCTGGGGGGGGGGGGAGGAGGATGGCAGGTCTGGGGGTAGGAGGAGGAGGGCGGATCTGAGGAGGCGGGGCGGAGGGTCTGAGGAGGGGGGGCGGGTCTGGGGGAGGGGATGAGGGGGGGGTCTGGGAATGGATTACATTGGGTTTTTCAAAACGTTTGCAATGGCGAATAGAAACAAAGGTCTCACTCGCCCCCCCCCTTCACTCGCCCCCCCCCCCTCACTCGCCCCCCCCCCTCCTCACTCGCCCCCCCCCCCCTCACTCGCCCCCCCCCCTCACTCGCCCCCCCCTCACTCGCCCCCCCCCCCCCCACTCGCCCCCCCCCCACTCGCCCCCCCCCCCCCCCACTCGCCCCCCCCCCCCCCCCACTCGCCCCCGCCGCCCACTTACCCGCCCCCCACTCTCTCCCCCCCCGCTCGCTCTAGTCTCCAGCCCCCGCAGCCCAGTGTGCGGCGGGTGGTCGAGCCCCCCGGTGACCCCCTCCTTTACCCGCCGTCGCTCGGCGCCGGGGTCCCTGCGCGCGCCGCTCGGCTTCCGGTCACCCGACCCGGGCGGCGCCGGAAGTTGCCCGCGCGTCGCGGTGCCCGGCAAAGGGGAGGAGCTCGAGCTGTCAGGGGCGGCGGCGGCGACGGCAATAACAAACAGCGCCCCCCAGCGCTGAGCGGGTGTAAACACATGGGGTGGGGAGGGGGGGTGTGAGGAGGGGGTCTGACTCAGCTCATGGCTGGACCCTGCCCTTTCCACACACATATACACCCACACACACACACACAGACAACAAAAAAAAGTTTTTGCCGTCGTTTTTGTGCCGGAAATCTGCCTCAGCCTAACCGCACGCTTTGCCGCTTGAGCTGCGCCGACAACCTGCCCTCCACTCAGGGGAGCGTCTCAGAGCGCTTGGCGGCGGCGGAGCCCCTGACGGCGACCCGGGGTTGGGGAGGTGGGGGGGGGTGGGCACGGTCGAAGAGGAAGGTTTTCGGCGGGATTTGAAACGGGAGAGAGGATGGTGGGGGGGGGAGAGGGAGGAGGAGGAGGAGGAGCGATCGAGGGAGAGCGTTCCGGAGTTTCGGGGAGTAGTGGCTGTAAAGCCCGACCTCCGATGGTGGGGCGGAGGGCGCGAGGGACGGGCAGGAGGCCGACGCCAGTCGAGCGGGTGTTGGATTGGGGGAGTGAGGAGGTGGGAGAGGTAGGGAGGTGCCCAGGGTGGGAATGGACTTGAACACGTAGTCCTGTAGCTCAGTGGTTAGAGCACTCGCTTTGCAAGTGAGAGACCTGAGTTCACTTCCAGGCAGAGGGCGAAACCTCGGGCAAGTTTCCTTACTCCACACAGAGCCTAATAATAATCCCTCCAAAACGATAATAAATTGGTCATTTTCAATCCACGACTGTTTGTGGGACATTGCTGTGCGCAATTGGCTGCCGCGTTCACCCACAAATATACAGTCAATTCACTTTACAGTATGTTCTGTGAAGCGCTTTGAGACGTCTAGAAGACGTGAAAAGCGCTATATCAAATGCAAGGATTATTATTTCAGCGCCTTGGGACCTCCCGACGTGAAAGGTGCTCTATAAGTGCAATCTTGTTCTTGTTCTTGAGTGTGAGGATCTTGAAGTCGATCCGTCCGGTGATGGGGAGCCAGTGGAACCTGGGCCAGAACGGGTGAGATGGGGTTATTTATATCATTATTTATGTGGGTATTAAGCTTATCATACCAAAGAGTAAGTTTGTAATGACAGTATTACAGTGCCGACTTTCTGCCATTCTTAGGCTACATTTGATATTATAATAATATTATTACATTTGATCACTCAAGCTACGACTGTTTGTGGGCACACTGCTGTGCGCAATTGGCTGCCGCATTTCGCTTACAAAATACACAGTCAGTATATTTTACAGTATATTCTGTGAAGCTCTTTGAGACATCTCAATGATGTGATATGACGCTGTATCAAATGCAAGGATTATTATTATACATCCACAGCATTCATTGGTGGGACCCTGACGTAGCTGGTGCAATGCAACAGTTTCAATTATTGATTTATTTTAAAAGATACAATTTGAGATGAATTTATCGTGGTAAATAGTCCCAATTGCATCTGCTTATAAACTAAGACAACAGAACCCATATATATCTACATTAAAAAAAAGTGGTCTCTCAATCCACAGGCGTTTGTGGGACCCTGATGGGCGCATTTAACTGCTGCGTTTCACCCACAAAATACATAGTCAATTCACTTTACAGTATATTCTGGGAAGCGCTTTGAAACGTCTCAAAGTCATGATAAGATGCTATTATCAAAATGCAAAGTTTTTTTGATTATGAACCCTCATTCCATTAAAACTCTGACATTTTGTTTTGTTTGTAAACTGAGGTAACTGAAATGACATTTGGTGGGGCCGAAATTTTACTTTTGCTTTTACTGTTTACAATTTCATTGGAAGCATCTTATGAAAAAAGCAGAAGAGACGAGAGTGGTCCATTTGCCAGGTCCAAAATTAAAGTAAATATTCTACCTCTCATGCCTACTTTTACTTTTAACTAATGATTATGACTGTCCAATTCTCTTGCCTTTACTGACAGAAATTGCCTCCACCTTCTCCCTTTCCTCCTCCTCTATTCTGCATATTCACAACTAAACGGTTCACCTTCCAGGATGGCTCAGCTGTAGCACTCTCATCTCTGAGTCACAAGGTTGTGTTACAGTGCTCCGGCCTGCTTCACGTCCCCCATCTCGCCCACCCCACCATTGGCGGGTGGGCCTTCTGCCACTTCGCCCCCACCCTCCAAAACTCCATCCCGCAGTCCCTCTGCCTCGCCCCCTCCCTTGCCTCCTTCGAGACCCATCTCAAGACCCTCCTCTTCGACTGTGCTTTCGATCACCCTCCTTCCCCCACTGCTCTCCCCGATCTCGACCCCCAGCTCTTGATGTTTTACTGTCGTGACAGGAGCGCCATCAAACGCAAGGATGAGTGTTGTCATCACAAAACCGGGTCGTGCATCCGGTAACCCGGTCAGCGCCCTAAAAAGTGTTATCGTCACGAAACCATTCCACGCCGTTTCTGTCTCGTCGTCAGTGTCCAAAACCTTCAGCCACTCCGGGATACTCTCCAAAAAAATCCCTCCCCACTGCCCCTTCCCTCCCCTCCCCGCTTCAAAAGAACCCCCTCGCAAAAACATATCTCCGGGTCGTGCATCCGGTAACCCGGTCAGCGCCCTAAAATTTCTCCTGCTGCTTAATTCTCTCTGCTGGAAGTTTGGAGTGGTTGGTGTGATGTGAGTGGGGGGGGGGGGACTGTCTGTGTGTGTTGTGTTGTGTGTGTTGTGTGTTGTCTGTGTGTGTTGTGTGTGTGTTGTCTGTGTGTGTTGTCTGTGTTGTCTGTGTGTGCTGTCTGTGTGTGTTGTGTGTGTGTTGTCTGTGTGTGTGTTGTGTGTGTTGTCTGTGTGTGTGTTGTGTGTGTGTTGTCTGTGTGTGTTGTGTGTGTGTTGTGTGTGTGTTGTCTGTGTGTGTTGTGTTGTGTGTGTGTTGTGTGTGTGTTGTCTGTGTGTGTTGTGTTGTGTGTGTGTTGTGTTGTGTGTTGTCTGTGTGTGTTGTGTGTGTGTTGTCTGTGTGTGTGTTGTGTGTGTGTTGTGTGTGTGTGTTGTGTGTGTTGTCTGTGTGTGTTGTGTGTGTTGTGTTTGTGTGTGTGTGTGTTGTATTGTGTTGTGTGTGTTGTGTTGTGTGTGTGTTGTGTGTGTGTGTGTGTGTGTTGTGTGTGTGTTGTTGTGTGTGTGTTGTGTTGTGTGTGTGTGTGTGTGGTGTGTTGGTGTGTGTGTTGTGTGTGTGAGTGTGCGTGTGTGTGTTGTGTGTGTTGCGCGCTTGTGTGTGTTGTGTGTGTTGCGCGCTTGTGTGTGTTGTGCGCTTGTGTGTGTTGTGTGTTGGGTGTGTTGTGTGTGTGTGTTGTGTGTGTGTGTGTTGTGTGTGTGTGTGTGTGTTGTGTGTGTTGTGTGTGTGTGTGTGTGTGTGTGTGTGTTGTGTTGTGTGTGTGTGTGTGTTGTGTGTGTGTTTGTGTGTGTGTGTGTGTTGTGTTGTGTGTGTTGTGTGTGTGTGTGTTGTGTGTGTTGTCTGTGTGTGTTGTGTGTGTGTGTGTGTGTGTGTGTGTGTGTGTTGTGTGTGTGTTGTTGTGTGTGTGTATTGTGTGTTGTGTGTGTTGTGTGTGTGTGTGTGTGTGTGTTGTCTGTGTGTGTTGTGTGTGTGTGTGTATGAAAACTCAGGTCATTTATTGTCCTTTCAATCCCTTCTCAGCGATTAACGGTCGCGGGACCGAAATTCGCCGGCGCCGCCTCGCTTTAAGCGCGTTCAGGTCCTGGAAGGGAAACGACGCGCCGCCGCCGTGTCCAGGCGGGAGGGGGGGGGGAGGGGGTCGACGGTGGTTTCGAAGCCCCCGTTGCGGTTGAGCGGACGGCTGCGTTGAATGGGATCATTTCCGATCGGGATGCGGCGGCCGAGGGGGTGACGGGGAGAGGGGTTGGGGTTGAGGGGAGAGAGAGGGGGCGGTGTGTGAGCTGCAGGACCCGGCGCCGGGGCCCACCCCCCTCCCCGGGCCGGGCCCGCCCCGCCCTCCTCTCGATGGGGAAGCCGGCAGCTCCCCTGCCCTCCTCCTGCGGGGTGGTGGCCTTGCTCAGCTCCGTGCCCTGCCTGTCCTGCAAGGCCCAGCCGCCCCCCGGCCCCGAGCCCGACACCGACATGGCCGAGCCGGCCAGAGCGGCCTGCAGCTCGGCCTCCCCGCTGCTGCCGCCGCCCCCCGGCTCGGACACCGCGCACAAAGGCTGGCTCTACAAATGGACCAACTACCTGAAGGGCTACCAGCGCCGCTGGTTCGTGCTGAGCAACGGACTCCTCTCCTACTACAGGTGGGTGTGGGGTGGGTGGGTGCTGGTGGGGTGCTGGGTGGGGGGGGGGTGGGGGGGGGTGCTGGGTGGGGGGGGTGGTTGTTGGGTGGGTGCTGGGTGGGAGGTGCTGGGTGGGTGCTGGGTGGGGGAGGGTGCTGGGTGGGTGGGGGGTGCGGGTGGGGGGTGCTGGGTGGGGGGGGTGGTGGGTGGGTGCTGGTGGGTGCGGTGCTGGGTGGGTGGGTGGGTGCGGTGCTGGGTGGGTGGGGGGGTGCGGGGTGGGGTGGGTGGATGCTGGTGGGGTTCTGGGTGGGTGCTGGGTGGGGGAGGGTGCTGGGTGGGTGGGGGTGTGCGGTGCTGGGTGGGTGGGTGCTGGGTGGGTGCGGTGCTGGGTGGGTGGGTGCTGGGTGGGTGGGTGCTGGGTGGGGGAGGGTGCTGGGTGGATGCTGGGTGGGTGGGTGCTGGGTGGGTGCGGTGCTGGGTGGAGGGGGTGGTTGTTGGGTGGGTGCTGGGTGGGGAGGTGCTGGGTGGGTGCTGGCTGGTGTAGAGCTAGGCATGGCATGGCATGGCTGCCTGAGGATGCACAGAGCTTGGGTGCCAGGGTGTTAGTCATATAACAATAATAATAGTAATAATAATAATAAATGGTAATGGTAATCCTTGCATTTGATGGAAGCGCCTCATCACGTCCTCGAGACGCCTCGAAGCCCTTCGCAGAATAGACCCGCGACGGGAACCGATATGGGTGTAGGTTTTTTTGCGGGCGGAGCGCGGCAGCCGATCGCACACGGCGGTGTCCCGCAAGCAGCTGTGGATGGAGTGACCCAAATTGTTGTTGTTGTTGTTGTTATTATTGCTGCTGGGTTTGCCGTCTTGCGCAGGGCCCGGGTGGCCTTGGGTGCTTGCTGGTGGCTGGAGCTTGGGTAGCACGGGTGTCATCTGGCGTAGAGAGCATGGGTGCCTGGCTGGTGGAGGGATCTGCTGGTGCGGGGCTTGGGTGCCGGCTGAACCGCAGCTCGGGTGGCATCAGTGTTTGCTGGTTCGGGGCCGGGATAACGGGTGTGTTTGCTGGTGTAGGGTTGGCGTGGTGTCCTCGCTTATTGTTGCAGTGCGTTGTTGTCTGGGGTGCCTCCAGGTACAGGAGGCATCGGGCACCGAGAGTGGGCGACGTATCAACTATTAGTGGTTAACCATAATAATTTTGGATTGGCAGGTGCCCTATTACCATAGCCCCAGAGACTTGCTCTAGACAGGCTGATGTAACCTGGATACTTTTGTGAAAGGTATCCAAGTGCTTGTATTGACTGGCAAGGGTAGCACAGATGCCCAGTGTATGCACAAACCAGCATGATATCATGTTTTCGTTAGTGCAGGTTAGATTTGCACTGGATATCTGTGTTGCTGCGTATTTCGGCTGGGCCGTCATTTGATTCCTTTTATTTCTCCTTGAAAGCACATGATACTGGATCAGGTTCCATTAAAATCCTTGAGGGGCGGTGGGGGAGAAACAATATCCCTAAAAGCTCCATAAATGCATACATAATAGCAGCCACTCTTAATTGAAAGCGATTCATTGTGTGACCGAAGCATTATTTGATGTGAGAAGGTGCTGAATCAAAGGTGAGTGACAGCGGGAATATGAGAATTTTACTTCAGAATCTGAAGTTGACAAAGAGCCACATGCATGCAATTGCAATCCAAAGTAGAGAATTCAAGTAGAACTTTCTAAGATGATGTGTGTGTGTGTGTGTAATGTTTATTATGTGAATGTTTTATGTAAAATATTTCATAGATTTGTGTAGCTAATGTACATCTACCACATATCACCGTATGTGAAGTACTTGATAACTGAAATGCCACTTTATAAAACTAAAAGTACTCCGCACAATTCCAAATGCTTCAGGGAGGAATTATTAGTGTGTGTTGCATCTTATGGAGGGAAGGAGGGATACAGTTTTTTATTCAGGCCTGTTTAATAAGTTAGCTTGTTGTTCAATTGCTAGACTACAATAGTTGGAGTAACTATTACAATCCATGGACTGGGAAGATGGAGTCAAACTAACTTCTCAATGTGTACCTTGCAAAACCATGGATAGCCAGGGCTTCATGGAGTTAAAATATGGGTTCACTATAATGTGCTGTGTGTTGTTTGACACTGGGTTCCAGTGCAGCTGGAGGCTGTGGGTGTGCTGACGTGGGTTCAGAATGTTTATACTGTGAACATTCTCCTCAAACACGTTCACAAGAAAAGTCATTAGAAAGTGATTCAATGTCAACTCCATTAAGCATGAAAAACGTTTTAACTGAAGACGTTGATGATCACTGACTTGTATGTGACTAACAAAATTCAAGGTTCATCCAACACATGATTTTTATCTGGAGGTACTAGAGCCAAAAAAAGTAGCACTGGATGTGTAACATCTGCCCTGACCCTCTGGAACTCCATCCCAGGCGCCTTTCATCACCCTTTCCTCACCTCTTCAATGTCCAACTCAGGGCCTTCCTGTTTGACCATGCTCGCGGCCATCTCCCAACCACACCCCCAGCTCAGGTGCAAACCATAGTCCAGCACCTTGGGATGCCCTCCTGCTGTGAAAGGCACTGTATAAATCTAAATATATATTGTATTGTAACTGTTACTTGATCAATTTCTTTGCGCATGGAGAGCCCTGTAGCAGTGGTTCTTGATGGGAGAGAAATTAATCTGAGAAAGATGAGCGCAAAAAATTGATTGAAATCAATTGAAACCTTTTTGGTGTTCTGTAGATTGGGAGGAAAGATTCTCTTTATATTTCCGAGTGTTCCCCATCCAGCCTCCTTTAATGTTAAGTTTCTGTTTGACAGATCAGCCAGGCATTATGAAGACTTTCATTCAACCTGTGCATATTGGTAAGAAACCGATCAGTGCTGTTTCTGACCAGCATGATACCCCCTACTATACCATCTTTATTGTTTAGCTATTTACATTAATGTTCCGTGATCTTGTTTGAATAACGACAACTTGCATTTATATAGTGCCCTTCACGCTGGGTAGCATCCCGGAGTGCTTCCGGAATGTACCTTTTAGTGACGTGCCTTGTATATGACATTGTAAATCAGTCTGCACAAGTGTTTGCCCAAACAAACCTATTTAATGCATAGGTTTTGTGATATTGACACATGGATAGAGATAATTGATTACTGAGTAGACACAAATAAAATTCCTTTAATGACCTGTCACGTGGCACACTGCAGAATATTTCAGATGTCTCCATGTTGTACTGTTCTTGGTGCATTATGGAGCTTACTCCAATCAATCATGGGGCAGTTGGTCGTCCACACTTGGGAAAGAACTCCACAAACAAAATGTCACTTGTGTGACTGTGTGTGGGGAGGATGGAGTGGGGGGAGGGAAGGGAACTGATTTTCAATATTATTCTTTTTTATCATTCAATTTCATACTTGTGTTAAACATCCATATGGGAAAGAATCTACCTAATGTTTTCAGGGAATGAGGTCAGAAAAATGTTATGTTCTAAAAGAGCCCATTCCAGTGGTCATCATGTGTATCATGAGAAACCCTTTCCAGGGAGGAGACGTTGTGATGTATTTTCTTGCCCTCCTTTTTCCAAATTTCTTCCCGTTCCCAACCCATGTCCTTAATTATTGTATTGAGGAGGGGGGTGGGGGGGATGTTGATACTGGATAGAAATCAGGAGAGGAAAGCACCCCCTCCCCCAATCCAATTTTGTTTTCTCTCCTTGGTGCTGTGAAACTGAGCGCAATTGTAAGTAGTACATCCAGCTCCGCCCTGGCTGAGAACAGCCAACTCAGCACCACTGAGGATCTCAGTGACTGTCTATAAAGCTTGCTGATGCCAAGTAAAGATTTGTAAACTCTGAGGATAAATAACTCTTAAGGTAGGTGTGTGTTGTGTTGTGTGCTGTGTGTGCTCTGTGCTGTGTGTGTGTGTGTTGTGTGGGCGGCGGGGGGGGTGGGGGGGAGTGCAACATATGCTAAAGAAATTTTATTCATATGTTATAAGGCAAAGGTGATAATTACAAAGGCTTTTTGCACCACACACAATCAGAAAACACTGTTTCTATTTATTCTGATGGGACAATCGGCTTCTTTTACTGAGGATGTGAAACAAGCAAATTTACATGAAAATTTACCTTCCAAGTCTCGCTTAACGTCTTAAGTTTTCATTTTCGAGAAACCACAGAAATCCATTCTTTTCTTCAGCTGGTAAGTTGTCAGTACACAGCAACTCGTGGATTGATTGGATCGGCTTTGAGTCAATTGCCTTACGATGTCACCCACCCCTTTCAGATCTCGACTACAGACAGTGAACTCTTTGTTCTGATGGGAATGTAATGTTTTGCACTCAGTACTGGAGTTGACATTGCATCTGGCGAATCCTTTCACTGCCTCCCTCTCTGCCTACTTGTGCATCAACCAGTAGTGTCTTGGTCTCAGTTTATGTTTTAATGTTTCTTCCTTGCTGCGAAGATGCATCTAGCCAATGGCTAGCACCATCCTTTGATAATAATAATAATCCTTGCATTTGATACAGTGCCTTTTCACGTCTTTGAGACGTCTCAGCGCTTCACAGAATATACTGTAAAGTGAATTGATTGTATATTTTGTGGGCAAAAACTTTTGAGAGCTTGGCTGAGATTGGGAACTTGGGTTGCGTAGGCAATTATGAACACGATGCTCTTGCAACTTACTCGCGATAGACAGATGCATTCTAATATCAGACAAGACTTCACTTTGACCTTGGTGCGTTTCAATTGTGATTTTCTTGGCTGTAATGCTAGAGAGTAATTTGTGCTGGATTGACAGGTAGCTAGGCCATCTGAATGTACAGCAAATAAATGGTTGAACCCCAAACCCACCTGTTTCCATTCATGTCTCGCCTCGGGCCAGACTAATCTCAGCTAAGTTGCTGCTGAACTGTTAGTGTGATAAGAATGACAATTAATGTAGGATATGAGACTTGGCACTAGCATTTCAGTATCATCTAATAATGACCAGTTGCACTGACAAGCATCTGAATCTGTGCAATTGTAGATTATGTTTGTCCAAATAGGGAGAGAGTATTTTAAGCTGTGTTGGACTAGTACAGAGCTGCAACTGTGATTTTGGCATGCGAGTTACCGATTCCGCCATTTAACCGCATTTTCGGAAAGTCACAGAATAATCTGTGAAGTCATGTGCACTCCTTCTCTGAAAAGTCATCACAAGAATGGAAATCTTGGCTGATTTTCCTCTGCCTGGCACAAGGTATACATTAAATAGCCGAATTGACAGTACTGGGGTGGAATGAGAGCAGCCGGTTTGTAATGGTACGGATACTGTATGTATAGACTATACCAATCCCATTGACAAAGTATGAGAGGCAGACTTAACAAGATTGATGATCGGAATTATGTTGCTGGCTGAACAATTTCCGTAAAGTTTGTTTTGTCCAGTTCTCTCCTTCATAACATTCTCTCCTGCAGAGGATGACTCATTCAGGAAGGTAATAATGACTCATTCAGAGACGCTTCCATAGATTCCAATATAACCTTCGAGTACTTCACAAATTGTCAATCCCTCATGTGAGTTTGGACAGTAAGTGTCAGTGAGTAAATGTTAGTTGACCATGTGTGGGAGGGCAAGTCAATGCTTCAGCCTCCTGAACTTGATTACACAGCGGTAAACATTAATTGTTGGATGGTGACTCTTCCAACTTGGCTGGAAGGGGATTGGACCTGTATTTTTCCAATGCAATCATGGTCTTCATTGCTATTCATATCAATTTAAAAGGGCTTTTGACAGTTTTTTGTCCCTCCCTTCTTTTCCTTTTCACCTGAAAGTATTTTCACTTTTTTTCCTTTTACCGAGCTTTCGTTGCTCTTCCTGCTCCGTTACTTCGCCCAAGTGGCCATTCTCCATGAATGAGCCTTAACAGTGAGTTTCAGATGATTATTTAGCCACAAGGAGCATCACAGCAGAGCATTATAGCTGTCTTTGCCCTACATCCATACACCCACACCAGTGATAGGGCCTTGGGTGACAGGAGTGTGTCATTGATTTTTCTCTTGCAGTGAGGGCAATTCCAACACCCAAGTGCTGCCTCAGCTGAGATCAACTAAACCAGCACAGATCAAGGCTGGGTGGGACCTTCCTAGTGTGTAATGCTCAATCGCTCAGTGGGTAAACTGCCTAAGAGATCCGAGGAATCTAAAGCTTGTCATTTAACATGCCTTGTTGTTGTTGGTTTTCAATATTTACTATTAATACCTTGCCTTTCGAATCCTTCCCTGTTTTGTTTCTGCTAAAAAAAAGAAATGTCAAAAAAGCCTTTGAAACCCACCTCACTCCAAAGCTGTACGTTTTACAAAACTTGTCACAGGCAGTACAGAAGCTCCTCTCACTGCTGAATGGTGTCCCACTATGTTAGGTCACCCTGAAGCAAGATTCTCTGTGATAACTTGTTCAGCCGTGACTTCAATTAACCGCATTAATGCATTTGAAAAAATTGCTGACTGTTTGGCTTCTGTCTGTCGGCTGACTTGTTTTGAAAAGCGTCCAAAGTATACTTGCTGTGCCCGCCTGGCTGGTCCATGTAAGTCCTTTGCTTTGTGCCAGCTCGGGCGGGCACTGTTCAACTGTCGTCATCACAATCTCCATGGCACCTCAAGCTTCATCTGCCAATCGTCGCCTTGTGCCCTGAGCCATCAGATTTCCAGCTGTGCTGTGCACCTTGTGGTAATGGAGCTTGACTTTTCTGATCAGAGCCGCCATCCATTCTGTGGTTGGATTAGATGCAGTATATCCCCTGATCTCTCATTACTTCCGCCTGCAAAATATACAGTCAGTTCATTTTACAGTGTATTCTGGGAAGCGCTTTGAGACGTCTCAACGATGTGATGAGGCGCTATATCAAATGCAAAAGAGCATTATTATTATTTTGAGCTTGTCTGATTTAATTTGAAACGGGTCCTGTATATTTTGCCGGTTGATTGATCCAGGGTCCCTTCTGGTTTTAAAATGTTCTGGATTTTACTTATATTTTAAAACCCGAATTAACTTGAAACTATTGGAGGCAGTATGTGTGTGGGGGAGGGGGGTAGAATCAGCGTAAAAGGCTAGTTATGGTGCAGTAGGCAGTTTCTGTGAATTTCCTCTTTACCGTGTCTGTGTCTGACCTCATTTCTGATGCTTGTGGGACCAAAGGAATGTAACCTCTCCTCTGTTGCACAGGGCATTCAGTCATTTTTTTTTCATCCAACTTTCCTGGCTTTAGAACATAAGAATTTGCTAGACGAAAAAGACCAGGGTCCACCCAGTTCGCCTTCCACAATCGCTTGCACATCTCATGACCCAAACTATATACTGTATCCCCCAGATATTATTTCCTTAAAGAAATCTATCTAATTTGCTTTTGAAAGAATCAACACTCCCTGCTTCCACCATCTGCCTAGGAAGCTTATTCCATATATTTTCTACTCGCTCACTGAAATAGTGTTTCCGCAGATTTGTTTTGAACTAACCCCACTTCAATCACAGGCCATGTCCTCTGGTTCTACTGTTCTGGACAAGATAAACAGCTTATCATGGACATATATTCACAAGATATACTGTAAATTATATTTCAGTGCACTCAGTGCTAACATTGGGTACCTTGCTTTTCCCCAGATGTGCCCTTATACAGTAATAATGTTGGAGCGAGCCTGTGCCTGACACTGGTGTCTGCCACATTCAGCTGTATGATTAGTTATCTGGAGGGAAACTGTTGCAAATGAACTAATCTGTTAACATCACATTGTGGGTTGCAGGATAACCTTTCCCAGTGGTTTGCAGACAGCAAGATGGGACAGTTTAAAATATATTTTGTGCTGTTTTGGAGTGTGAGCTTTTCTTGCAACATGTGTTCCACGTGTGTGGGTCGCCCACCAGCATTTCAAGTAACAGTTTTTCGCGTGTGATTCTAGTCATCGAGTGTCCGCAGACTATTTAAGTTCTGAAATTACTTGAATACTGTTCTCCCCAAGGTCACACCAATGTGTTAACTACTAGAGGTTACTGGAATTTGATCGAACTGAATGATCGCAAGCGTTTCCTCTCTTTCTCTTCCTCCCCCCCCTGCCCACGGGTCAATTGAGTGTCTGAACTCGAACCAGGCTGAGACTAGCTAGCTCTCCTCAAGACTGGGAATTGAACTTGCAACCTTCTGATATAAAAACAAAAGTTGCTGGGAACACTCAGCAGGTCAGGCAGCATTCATGGAGAGAGGAAAATGAGTTAACGTTTCAGGTCGATGACCTTTCGACCGATCACTCAGCCTGACTTGCTGAGTGTTCCCAGCGACTTCTGATTTTATTTCAGATTTCCAGGCATCTGCAATATTTTGCCTACTTCAACCTTCTGGTCTGTTTGTGACTATAATATCCTTCCATTTCTGTTAAAAATAGAGAATATTAAAATAGTTTTATCACAACACAATATTAGACTTTAATTTTAGGAATCAATGAATCAATGAATAATTAAGTTACAAGAATTATTATTAAAATTAAAGTCTAATATTGTGTTGTGATGAACTATTTAAATATTCGTGCCATTTACTCTGCTGAACCTTTATTAATAATAATAATAATCTTTGCATTTGGTACGTCAGGAGGATGTCTCACAGCAGTGAGTGTACTTATTTGTGTGCAAAAGTGGACAGCCGATTTGCGCATAGCAGTGTCCCACAAACAGCCATGAAGTGAATGACCAATTTTATTTGGCTGATTGTTGGCCAGGACACTGAGAGAGACTCACTTCTCTTTATGAATAGTGCCGTGAGATCTTTAACATGCACCAGAGCAGCCAGATACAACCTTGGTTTAACATCGCATCCAAAGGACTGCACCTCTAACAATGCAACACATCCCCAGCACTGCCCTGGAGTGTCAGCCTGGACTCTTGAGTTCAAAGTCTGACGTGGGGCTTGAACCCACAACCTTCTGACTCAGGCGAGAATGCTAGCAACTGAGTCAGGCTGTACCCTTGTACAATTGCAGTGAGTAATTCTTACCCTGATGAGACAACAACAAATTACATTTCTAAAGCGCCTTTCAAATAGCAACACTGGATGGTTAGCCCTGTTCTCAATTATACAACTACTCTACATTCTAGCTATTTGTACTTTCGTCAACCCGAGTAAATAATTGCTGGTACTTGGCATAAGCTTCTAACTGACTGACTGGCACGGAGGAATGATGACTTGTAGTGAATTCTGGCTTAATAACTCCTCCATCAGTGATGTCTGCACTCGTTTAAACCAAAGTTTCTAATGCTCAGACTGGCGTCTCCCTCTCCATCAGGAGGGTTAGTTAATGAAGGTAAAAAGACTGTGAATGGTCAGGCCCAGTAGAGGAGGAGGAACTGTGGTACAAGTCAAAAGCTTAAACACCATTTTGCACACATTCTCTTAGCATACATTAGTTTTTCTTCGCGTGATTGTTCCTCAGATCACTGTTCTCTTGTGCCCTTTTAAAGACTGTCTGATTGACACGACTGAGTTTCATCCATAGATGGAAAGGCTGGCAGATGTCCAAGGGGATTGTATCTTACTCTGCACAGTGTCTCCGGTACAGCCATGTGCATTTGAATAATTTAAAGACGTTGAATTTGATGTGTGCGGACATGCAGGGATCCATCGCTGTGTACTTAGCTGAAATATGAGCAGCAGTCCCTCTAAATTAGTCTCCAGTCTGTATTGTATTTAATCCTTTCAAAGAGGGAATGTCTCCATTGGTACTCATCACAAAAAAAATTGGTTCCAGTCAATAATCATATAAACGTTTATTCTGGTTCTTACTAAGCACGACCATGCAATGAAGCTGCTTTAAGGTCACGTTATGTGTTTTAAAACAAAGTCCCACTTCTCACCCCAAACTCCATCTTCACTGCACACCATTTGCACAGCTGAACTCAGTAACTTCTGTCAAGTCCATTTCCGTGATCAGTTTCAAATGAAAATAATCGTGGAAGAAAAAGAGAATCCAAATGGATTAGAAATGAAATTTCTCCATGCAGGAGGATTATCTCAAAGTGCATAATTGAGTTTAATTGACCACTGACCCCCCCCCCCCCCCCCCCCCCCCCCAATCCGCCCAAGACTTTGTGGCCAAACAGGCCCCCTGTTAATATTCTCTGGAAGTTGCAGAAGATTTGGGAAGGGGGACTGGTCTTTGCTGCTTACTGACGTTATTCAGATAACAACAACAACTTGCATTTATATAGCGCTCTTCACGTGGGGTAGCATCACAGAGCGCTTACAGGCAACAAGATGACAGGTCAGAAAGTCTGAAGATCCTGTTGAACTCAGTGCCTCATCTGTTTGGTCTCATGGCTAGATCTTGTATCAGGAGGGCCTCCTGAATGCAAGCTAAGTAGCCCTATTGGTAGCGTGAATGTGTATTCCCAGCATGGATCCATGACAGAAGGCAATGTGGAGTAAACAGATGTGGGAGTTTGCTTTTGCATACAAAATAACAGGTTTCCATCAGCAGCTGGGAAACAACCAATGGTCCTGGGCTCCCTGGATGGCAGGCCTCCCCCTATGGACATGGGGGTCAGCTGACTTGACAGGAGATAATGCTCTTTTCCTTGGCGCGGTCAATCTAAACCAGGAGTACCCCAATCTGATCGATCCTGTGGCGTAAGGTATTAGTGTTGGAGGGATTCCTCTGGGCTTTGAGAGCCTGATTTTCTAGTCACTGCTGCCTTCCTCTTTCCCCTCTCAGTCACTGACCTTGTCTTCCTCCGGAATAAGGCCCATCTACTGTTTATGTCGCACTGTGCTGACTATAGTAACATAGTCATTGAATCATTGTAGTCATTGAATAAGAAGTAGTAAAAATATTTATGATAAAACACAAAATAATTTGTTTTATTATAAATATTTTTTTCAAATATTAGAAAGGAAATTTTATTTTTTGGGGCATTTGTGGTAACTGCTCCTTCTCCAACCCCCTCTGTTTTCTATAATAATAATAATACTTGCATTTGATACTACGTTTATTCTATTATTATATTACATATATTCTACCTTTCTCTCCAGAAGGTGTGCACTTATACAGGCGAGAGTTTGAGTTCCACAAGCCGATGTGCCATATTATTATTATTATCTGCTGCCTCCACTGTGTTGATTCTTCCATGTTTGAGGCCAGACAAACAATGCTAGTGAGCTATTCATCCATGAGAGCCAACGGAACTCACGCTGATCCTACCCACGCCCAGTGTCCGTGTGAGCTTTCCAGCTGAATTATCACAATAGTAATCAACAATGGGAACCTTGGCTGATTCTCCCAGTCCGAGCCCAAAGGCCTTGAGGCCTTTTGTAGTGTCCCTGTAGGCATCTAGACAGAGATCAGCATCAGGGATTGAACCTGGATTGGTCTGTAGGGTTCAGTTTCACTCCAGGAAGTTGCTTTTACATATTAAACATTGCAAGAGCAACTGTTGATTTTTAACAGGGTGCTAAAGTTCCTTAGGCGACTTAGGAAGTAAATGCTCTGTGTGGTGCCATATACATCTTAAGTTTGATCTCTTATTTGTATGACACAGCTGATCTCAGCTGAGGCAGCAGGGTGTCATGCTTTAATTGAGCCTTTGTGTCTGATGAAGGAGAATATCAAACGAGAGGAAATTATCACGTCTGCTGCCTGCTATTCATTTCCCGTAAAGAAAGTGCGTGTGTGTGTGAGGTGAGGACTCAATGACTCTGCTCCCCATATATGAATATCTCATTGGCCCTCACTGCCTGCACTTTTCTTAAAAGAAAGCCATTTTGGGCAAAGGGAGATTGTGGCAGCTGTGGATTGTACCACCGAGAGAGGAAGGAAAAAGATTAGTTAAGGAAAATAGGATGCTTGGTGGTGAGACTGCTGTAAAAAGGGAGGTGGTGGGAGGTGCTGAGATGATGATAATAATAATCTTTGCATTTGGTAGAGATGACATGAATCACCATAGTTAGCACATAGCGCAGCACATAGCGCAGTTGGCAGATTGACCGTAAATCAAGTCGTGTAAATTGGAATACCGACTACATCGAAGGCATCTCTCATTGAGCATTGCGTGTGTCCTTTCCTGCATGCAACTGGTTTTACTCGTACTTCGCTTCATTCACTGATGATTTCTCTCCCTCCCCCCCACCTTCCACCCCCTTTATTTCCTTGCAGCACCTGCTCACCATCATGCAGCGGCCTTCAGCCAGGAGGGGGGCCGGTAGGAGGCGCACTGGCAGTGGGGTGAGCTGATCATTTCAGTTTTTGATCTGAGGTCCTGGGTGACATTCGGCAGCTCTCACTCCCACCCCTGACTGCCTGCCCCGAGATTGATGCTGGCGTCTGGTTGGGATGGAGGGGTTCTGTTCTGCATGTTACAATCACATCGTGGAGGTGCATGTTATTTGATTACAAAGTTTTGCCCACAAAATATACAGTCAATTTACTTTCCAGTACATTCTGTGAAGCGCTTTGAGACCTCTCGACGACTTGATAAGGCGCTATATCAAATGTAAGGATTATAAAGTAATTTAATTTTAATACAATACAAATTTACATTTGTATGGCACCGTTCAATTTGGGAGGACGTCCCAAGGCGCTTAACAGTTAATTAACAGTCAGGTAATTAATTGGCTTGGCATCCATTCTGACAGGGGTAGGGAGAAGAAAGATGATCAAAACTATAATATATACAGAATTTCTCAACAAGATTATTTCTGCGTTTTGGTCTTAGCCATTAGAGTTTTTCTATGAACTAAGATTGGTCATTCCTGAGTTCTTCTGAGACATTGCTGTGCACAAACTGGCTGTTGTATTCACCTACAAATATACAGTCACTGCACTTCACAGAAACCTCTGTGAAGCGCTTTGAAACATTCTCGACATAAGATGCAAGGTTTATTACAACAAGAGCAACAATTTGTATTTACAGAACTACTTCATACACCACGGCTATTGGTCAATGGCAGAAATCTAAGTGGAACTTAGTGGGGTCTCCTTGGAGTTGAATCGGCTCCAAGGTGACATGTTTAGCATCAGTCTCTGTGGTGGTCTCAGTAGTCCAGTTCCTGAGCCAGGTGGGTCCACGTTATTCCAGGACTGCTGATCGTAGGCTAGTCTTGCCTTATCGGCAGGACTTGGAAGGGCAGACCTGTCACTGGGGGCAGGGACTCTTCCTACTTAGCTGCTGTTAACCTTGCAAGCCAAAACTCTAATGGCAGGGTGGTCCTAGCTGGACAAGCAGCGGGAAAGCTTGCCAGTAAATGCTCTCAATGGCGAGCCATGAGGTCTTAGCTGGTTAGACTAGCAGTTACCCCAGCTCACACTCTGGGGGCGCCAAGCCTTGTCTCTCTCCAACCTGAGCCTAGAATTAGGTAAGCAGAATGCTTCCCTCTAGGGAGAGAGTGCTCATTCCATTCCAATAAATGTCTCTGGAATTTCCATGTATAGGTGGGATACATGGAATTCTCGGCGCAAGCACGTGCAGATGGGTTTTTGCATGTGTCAGACACCTGCCCGCCTGGGGGAAAAAAAATGTTTGGAAACAAAAAAAAGGCTAAAGGGTGAATGTGGGAAGAAAGTCTATTGATAGGGAATGGATGTGGAGGAGTTATTTGGCCAGAATTGGGGAATATAATTATCAACTAAGGAAAATGTGAGCCAAGTATAAATGTGAAACAATTGGTTTATACTTTTAACTTCCAATAGATGTAATGAATGAACTGTCAATAGATGTAATGAATCTGGATGTGTTCATAATTCAAAAAGGAAAAGGACTCATTCTTGACTCACCAGAGATTATGGGATAGGGGCTGAGAACATGGTTCAGGGACTGTAGGACTGGGAACATGAAGCAGGAATAATAATAATAAAAATAATAATCCTTGCATTTGATATAAGATCTTCAAGACATCTCAAAGTGCTTCACAGAATATACTGTAATGTGAATTAACTGTATATTTTTTGTGGTGGGGATAAAAAATTGGTCACGATGTTTGTGGGACATTGCTGTGCGCCATTGGCTGCTGTGTTTTGCCCATGAAATGCAGAGTAAATCCATTTTGCAATATATTCTGTGAAGAGTTTTGAGATGTCTCAATGATATGATAAGGTGCTGTATCAAATGCAAGGCTTATTATTATTAGAAAAACTGGGAACATGGAGCAGAAAAGGCAGGAATGTGTGGGATAGGCCTGGGAACATGGGGGAAGGATGGGTGGGATAGGAGCTGTGAACGTGAGGCATGGGGTTGAATAATAATAATAATAGTAATAATAATAATAATCCTTGCATTTGATATAGCGCTTTTCACGTCTTCTAGACGTCCCAAAGCGCTTCACAGAATATACTGTAAAGTGAATTGACTGGATATTTGTGGGCGAACGCAGCAGCCAATTGCGCACAGCAATGTCCCACAAACAGTCATGGATTGAAAATGACCAATTTATTATTGTTTTTTGATTTGGAGGGATTATTATTAGGCTCTGTGTGGAGTAAGGAAACTTACCTAGTGGATCTCAGACATAATAGATGAGGTTTTCTTGCTAGGTTGAATGACTTTTACTTCTCCTTTGTATTTCTGTTGCTAAGTCTCAGGATAGTCAGAATAATAATAATAAACCTTGCATTTGATATAGCGCATTATCACGTCTTCGAGACATCTCAAAGCGCTTCACAGAATACACTGTAAAGTGAATTGACTGTATATTTTGTGGGCGATGTTGAATTTCCTTGAGAGATACCAGCTTGTGGTATTGGGTAAGACTGTGTGGGGGTTCTCATTAATATTCCGCTCCACTGAGTGATCCTGAGCTACTGGATGAATAGCAACTAACTGAATCAAATAATGAATCGAGACAGTTCTATAAGAAAGCTGGCATTCCACAGCAGTACGATTTGAGATTAGAGAGCGTAATTCTCCTGTACTCTAAAGCTTTCCAATCGTTTTGGATCCAGGTGGATTTCAGCAAGTGCTGTACTGATTAAAGCTTTTCTAAGAATGAATTCTCTGTATTATCCAGTTTCCAATTGGCTTTTAAAGGAGCGCCGTCTCTTCAGTAAAATGAAATCTTTTCCTTTCTCTTTTATAATCACATGCTGTGATGCCACAAATCCGCTGAGCCAAGTTCTCGAGTCTCTTGCCGAAGACATAATTGTGATGAATATGATACGTGTCCCTTCTAAAGTACTGTAATCGCCCTCCTCAAACAATAACCTTTCCTGAGAGCTGTGACGGTCTGCGAGCAGACAGTGTTCCTTTAAGTGGAGGTTATTGGTACTGCTTGGCACGATGCTCTATAATTTCCTGTCTTACGGCTTTTATCTGGCTGAGCTGATTATATTGGGGTACATACAGAAGGGTTAGTTGTATGCTGCAAACCCAGAGAATTCTCTGACCATTCATGGCACTATTGAAATAATTCCGCTGATTACAGTCAAATGACCCAGACCTGGATCGATCAATCGCATGTTTCCACCAGAGTGATCTTGGAGTTCAGCTTCATCAAATTGCAGAGATCTTATGAAAGGGCAATGTTTTGTTTCTCCTTCCTGCTCTGACGTAGCTAACTCCTGCTGGCGTTATGCTGCACCTCATCCAGTGGGTTGTGAGTTAGGTGACCTTGATGCGGTGCAAGGGACTGTCACATCCAAATCTAACCCTTCTTCATGTGATTTTCCCCCTAAGCCCTCATGTCCACTTTACCACGTACAAAAAAAATTGTGGTCACTCATCCACGACTGTCTGCAGGACACTGCTGTGAGCAATAGGCTGCCGTGTTTCGTCTACAAAATACACAGTCAATCCACTTCACAATATATTCACTTTGATATGTCTCAACGACATGATAAAGCGCTATATTAAATGCAAGGATTATTATTCTTATTATTATTGCAATAATAATTGAATTATGTCAGACTCTGCCATTGTGAAGCGCTCCGGGACGCTACCCTGCGTGAAGGACACTATATAAATGCAAGTTGTTGTTATATTGCTTTACAGTGGGGATCACTGGATAGAGATAAAGCGCTGGAACTGTAGCTGATTTTATTCTGTCTAGCCAAAGGGGTTTTGCGGCCATTTGTAGCATTCTTACTGCTGCCCCACCCAAGATCAGACTGGGAATTAAAATTAACTTGGCGTCTTTCTAAATCTTTGTTCCGTGCTGGACATTGTCATTAACAACTAAGATAACGGGGGAGTGTAAATCAGTGCTCGTTGGTGGGGTGGGAATATTGTACTAGTGTAAGCGCTAATATTACTGTTCATTTGCTTCATTGTATTTTCTCCCCCCTCCTTCAGGACTCAGGCCGAGATGGCACACACGTGTCGTGGCACCATTAACCTGGCCACGGCTCACATCGACGTGGAGGACTCGTGCACCTTTGTCCTCTCAGACGGCGGTCGTACGTACCACCTGAAGGCGAGCTCTGAGGTGGAGAGGCAGCGCTGGGTGACAGCACTGGAGTTGGCCAAGTCCAGAGCCATCCGCATGTTAAACGACCAGTCAGGTAGTGTCCGAGGAGCAGTGCTCACTGTATGGATCCTGTCTGTCTTTGTGCATCACACCCTTATGGTATCATCGCGCTATTTTAACTTGGATTTCGCACTGAGATAGCTGCTTGACCTCACTGGCATTTCCTCGCACTATATGGGGACAATTCAGTCTTTTAAAGTGATGATTTTGTAATCATGTAACCCAAGCTGGAACATGTCGCTTTGCAAGAGAGGGTAAGGTGCTTGAATCTGCTCGGTGACAATGTGGAAGGAGCAAAACCCATTGGATGATGGTTGCTACCACCGTTTGGGCTTTTGAAGCTGGAGTGAATAAGACCTATACTTGGGGAGTATGGTCAGGCTAGGAAAGGATGCTACCTGGATCCTGAGTGACATGAGTGATCACTGGAGTTCGACTCAAATCAGATCAGCTCTGGTTGTGGTGGGCCGGTTTGCGATATTTGGAGGCAGTTTGTTCCAGTTGGAGTATGTGTGTATTTCTTAATTCAGAAATAAAGAGATCAGAGTTATTCCGAAGGGCTGTTGGAATGGGTGATGAGAAGAGATCTCCCTTGGGAATTGTCAGGGAACAGACATTTGTGAAAGTTGGATCCATCTGAAAAAACAATATATTAGTCCTTTGAGGTTTATTCAACCGGCCTTGTCTGTTAGCCTTGCGTTTTTGGGACAAATTGAAAATATTACCAAACAGATGAAGGAAAGGTTTTAATACAGTATTTGGATTGCTAGAGGTTTGCCAACTCTCCCAGTGATTGGGAGGATAAAAATATCAGATCATATATATCTTTAAGGAATGAGTTTGGCCTCAAGGGGTGAGATTTGCATTGGTATTTTCAGTTATTTTCGAGACCTTAGCCAAAGTAGTTGAAGGTTGCCTTTATTGAAACTCTGTCACATCATTTGGGGAAATACGAACAGTCTGGTGAACACCAGACATCTGAGGGAGGCTATGGAGATGGACCTGGGAAGGTCAGTAGAGGAGGATTGGGGACATTTTGCTCACAGCTACCTGAGTTTCTATCAGTAAACTACTGAGAGGGCTCAGCCGAGAATCTTAAACCACATCTGCGTTTCTCCTACAAAATATACAGTCACTCCGCTTTACAGTATATTCTGTGTAGTGCTTTGAGACGTCTTGAAGACGTGATAAGGTGCTGTATCAAATACAAGGATTATTATTATTATTATCTATTTCACAACAGAGCAGCTCCATCCCTAGGGCAATAATACCCACAATGTTTGCTGGAGGGAAAGTAGGGAGCTGGGTAATCAGTTCCACATATTCAGAAAGTAAAGCTACATTGGGTCATGATCCTCAGAGAAATTGGAGCTCCTTTGGATTTAGATATGGGGTGTCTCGCATGTCTTTTGCGAGGCTCAAACCGTTGCTTGTCAGATGTTGAATGACCAACAGTGATTATCCTCCTTGGGTAGGAGGTAGGCAGAGTCTCTTGGAACTGAACTGGCTCCAAGGTGACATGTATAGAAATGTTGGAATCGAGTCAATCCTCTGTGGCAGTCTCGTCCATCCAGTTCCTGAGCCAGATGAATCAGCAGTATAATTTAGAGGCATTGGATGGGAATGTTAACTCGGAAATATATTGATTCAGATGCTGTCTAAAGGCAGACAGGATAGATAATATTCGCCCTCTGGCTCGCCTTACAGATCTGGTTTCTGTTTCATTGAAAATTCCAACATCACAGGTTAGCATCATGTCATTGTGTGTGATTTCCCTTTCATGTAAAAACTCTGGACAGTAAAGTGGAAAAAATTGTCCCTACAACTTTGCGATGTTTGTTTCATACACTGTATGTCCAAATTATCAATAAGTTTTCAAAAAAATTAAGCAATATCAGATAAACCAGAAGTTGCTGGGGGTGTGCAGAGGAGTATTTGTGGCAGTGTCACACCAACTGTAGCATTCGCACGTCCAGTGGTAAACGGGAAGCTTGTGTCCAGTTCGACTTGTTTAGAACTTTTATATGTTGCTTAATTTGTTGTAGAACAACTATAACCTCCCTCCCTGATCCCGACCCCCAGCTCGGGTCCAAAACACTGATTCTCCAGCGCCTTGGGACATCCTCCCAACGTGATAGGCGCTATACAAATGTAATTTTGTTATAACATACAATACTAAAATTACATTGGTATAGCGCCTTTCACTTTGGGAGGACATCAGGGATTTGGACCCGATGTGGAGTAGGCCTGAGCCTGTTAAGCGGAGGGAGCCGACAAGTTGATATTGAATTGTACAGCATAGGCTGGCGAGTTGAGGAGATAAATGTTTTATAATGAAGACTGGAAGAGAAATAGGATTCGGGTAGTGATTTATTAGTGCTTATGTGATCAACTGGAAGTCAATGAACACTTGGATTCTGTTTCAGAAAACTTTGACATGGGCAGGAGAGGGAATACGATATTAATCCAATCCCGTTGACAGTGAACACTGTTGAGAGTAACATCTCAACGACGCCACCAGGTGGAGCAAAGTGATGCTATAATTTTGGAATTGCAGTTTAAAAGTTTATAAATTGGAAGACGGTGGTTGCAGTGTATTTTAAAATTTAAGCATCAGAAAGATTTAAGGTCCCTCGATATGTGAAGCTCAGTAGAGGGTTTATTTACTCAGCCTCTCGAAAATGGTTTTGAATAACAAGCCGATTGTTCTGCAGATTTTGTACTACGTGCCAGAAAGCAGCATATTAATTGTTGCAGGTTAAATTCTGAAGGTGCTTTGCATCCACGTTAGTTTAATCCTTGGCGAGTCAGAGGTTTGGTTGCTGACTTTCCCTGAAACGATTCGTGTTTTACCGCCTAATGAGGTTTAATCAGAACATGGCATTTCGTTGTGTTAACAATCATCTTTAAAAAATTAATCTGATTGCTGTCCACATCCCAATAACACTATTGACACTGCTGTGCGCAATTGGCTGCCCTGTTTCATCTACGAAATGTATAGTCAATTCACTTCACAGTATTTTCTGTGAGGCGCTTTGAGACGTCAAGAAGACGTGAAAAGCGCTACATCAAATGTAAGGATGATTATTATTAAGATAAGCAGCTCAGTGTGTGGGAAATTATAACCATGAATTCAGACCCGAATGGAACTGAGCCAAACAAATGACCTAGGTTCCATTCTTGCTTTGCACAACATCAGGTTGAATAAGACGACGCAGCATAACATCACTGTAATTGATCTCACTGCCCTGGGTTAGAGCAGGCAGCAAATCAGCCAAATCAAGGAGTCTCCATTCCACACTGCGCAAGCTGGTGACAGTCAATGAAAATGCCTGTGTCAGGTAAGGACTCAAGGAATCTGGGTCGACTTTGGTGCCTTTATGGTCAAATAGCCTAATAATACTTGCTACTTGCGCTCATACAATAAGAATGGCCACTTGAGTGGGTATGAGAGTGTGCCCAGTGCCCAGGAAACCATGGGTGAAATGTGTAGTGTTCCTTACACAGGGCTCCTGGTGTCAACATGGCAGCAGGTTAGTAATGTTAGTACTGAGCTGAGGAAGTACTTCTTCACTCAAGGGGTGGTGAATGTATGGAACTTACTACCCCAAAGGGCTGTTGATGCTCAGTCCTTGAACATATTCAAGACTGAGATAGATAGATTTCTTATTGCAAAAGGGATGAAGGGATATGGGGATAATGTAGGGTCAGGTTATTAGCTAGAGTTAGATTAGAAGATCAGCCATGATTGAATGGCGGGGCAGGCTCGAAGGGCCGACTGGCCTACTCCTGCTCCTACATGTTATGTTATTGTAGGCACTGATCTTTGGGTGTACAAAGTTGAGCTGTGAGCTGATTTCTGAATTCCAACCTTTAATTACTGTCAAAATGACTTCCTGGTAACTCTTCTCTGTATTTACTGTACTGTAAGAGCCGTAACTATTGCGATTTCACAGGATTCGGAATTAGTCTGGAAAGAAATTAAGTTTTTTTTTGGAAGTTGGCCGGATTTATTTTGGTTCCAAACAAAAGTGGGTTGCCAAAAGTAAATGGGAACATTCAGCGGGTCAGGCAGCATCTATGGAGAAAGGAAAGTGAGCCAATTTCCTTTCTCCATAGATGCTGCCTGATCTGCTGAGTGTTCCCAGCGACTCCTGTTTTTTTTTTGTTTCAGATTTCCAACATCTGTAGTGTTTTGCCAAAAGTAAAAAAAAATTTTTTGGGCTTGACTCAATTTTACCACGAGATGGCGCTTAGGTGTTTGATGGCGTGGACTAACTGGGGTTGCAGGCCAAGCTTTATGCCACTCTTATCCTCGAGAGAGATTAAAAAGACCAGGCATTTAATGAAGCAAATATAGAATGTTAACTTAACTTTCACGCTTGACACGTTTCGCCCACAAAATATACAGTCAACTCACTTTACAGTATATTCTGCGAAGTTAGTCTGAGACGTCTCGACAACTTGATAAGGCGCTATGTTAAATGCAAGGATTATTATTGTTGACAGTCACTTTACGAAGTGAGTCAATAAGAGAGCGTACGTGGCAGGATAATGTAGAAGCAGTGATTTGGAGAGGGTGGGGTGAAGGGGAGATGAGCAAGCTCCGATAGGCAATTGCTTCTCACCCAATTCTGTTGTTTATCAATGTAGACAAGAGTAACACAGAGAGATGCTCATCCCACACAACAGTGTTCAGAGTAAGGTTACGCAGATTAGATACTGTGCTTATAACCAAATATATGGACTTCATGCCAGTGTGTGTTTATTCCTGAACTGATGGAATTTGTGCACTTGTAGAAATATTCTTTCCACCTTTATTAATGTATGTTGTGTGATGTTATTCCGTGTATCTTTTTCATTCATTGTATTTCATATTATTTTGACGTTTTACATTTTTTCATTTTGAAATAAATTTTTTTGTGAACTCATTCCACTTTATTTTGCTCGTCTGTGTATCTCTTTGTATTTTTATTTTGTTCTACTTTGTGATCGATTTCAAACGAATCTATGCCGAGCCGCAAGTAGGAAATC